AGATATGCACCCATCACTGCTGCCTGACTTGCATGCCCTGCCAGCAAAGACTGGCTCATATCTCAGCATCCAGGCCAGCAATTAATATGCTGTAAATTGCGTGTTGTAGACGTCGCCCAGGGCTATTAGAATCCACTTTGAAGTGAGTTTACTTCCATACTTGCTGCGGAGATATGGCCCAGTCAGCCCAGCCCACAGGGGAGAGCCCATGTTTGGGGTGGGCGCACAGCCACGATCATACCCATTCTACATAGCCCTGATCGAGGGCTTCAAGAATATATCATAATATGACCTTACTTCCAGGGTTGCTGTGGGGAAAAAGCTTACTTCCATGTCCGATACGCTTACTTCCGACGGAAGTAAGCTCAGCGTCGGCCCGGACGCACAGCCACCGGCACGTAAGTACCACCATTGTGTAGCCAAGAAGCAGGGCTACCATAAAACCTTTGGAAGTAAGGGTATATCCCTAACGGTTGCCGAGATACGACCTTACTTCCGCCTTACTTCCACCTTACTTCCGGCATCCTGAGCTCAGGATGGGGTTTTATAGAGATAGAAAGCCCCTCAAAACTTCATTGAACAGCGGCTGGTTCTCGTCGCACACGATGAGATGACCGTGCAGGCAAACGATGGGAAGGCCAAGAGCTGGGTTCCGGATGGCGAGTATCCATTGAAGAAGAAAGGTGTCGGGCGCGGAATCCATCGCAGCGATGTGATTTGCTCGACCGTCGGGCTGCTCGAGGAGGCGGGACAAAGCATGGAGTATGGGAAGAACTATGAGGGATATTGGACCGGGGAGCTCTTTGTGAAGCAGGTATGTGGGTTCAGCATTATGGCCCTCGTTGAACAGCTCAATTTAAGTTATTCTTATATGCAGCTCCAAGAGAAAATCATTCCTGCCTTTGAGGCTGCCCATGGCCCGGGCTATCAGGCTCTTATCATGGTCGACAACTCTCAGGGTCACTCTGCATATTCAGCGGACGCCCTCCTTACCAGCCGGATGAACTTGCGGCCGGGAGGCAAGCAGGCTCGAATGCGGGATGGACAGTATACCGATGCCAGCGGTGTTGAGCACGTTCAGAGCATGGTCTTTCCCGCTGATCATCCCGAGTTTCCTGACAAACCAAAGGGCATGAAGCAGGTCCTTGAGGAACGAGGGTTGTGGCGGAAAGGTATGCTCATGAAGTGCCCGGACGGCGACAAGTGCGACCCCGATGCCAGGGACTGCTGTGCAAAGCGGATCCTCGATCTGCAGCCCGATTTTGCGGGGCAGCAGTCACTCGTTCAAGAGGTCATTGAAGCTGCAGGGCACATGTGCATCTTCTTGCCGAAGTATCACTGTAAACTCAACTTCATTGAATTCTTTTGGGGTGCCGTGAAGCGGTTCCTCCGGGACAACTGCGACTACACGTTCAAGACACTCCAAGAGAACCTCCCGCGCGCACTCAAATCGGTCAGTGTCGAGCTGATACGTAAGTGGGAACATCGTTCAGTGCGATGGATGGAAGCATATAGGTCAGGTCTTAGTTCACATGATGCACAGGAACAAGTAAAAGCCTTCAGTTCGCGTCGCTACAAGTCGCATCGTCATATTCCGGAGACTCTCGCGCGTACATTAGACGCCTAGATTACTAATGCTCTACCTTCCATATTCGTCATTAATTACCATATACGGAAGGTTGTTCCCATCACTGGCAAAATCGCGACCCTCGAAAAATAATAACTCGGTCAGTTTTGAGAATTTTGAAAATCACTTTGACAGATCTCTTCCTATGCCAAATGCGAGCATTCTGGTCAAACCGATAGTCTGTATGGTTTGATTTGGGTGACCTCATACGGCTATACAAGTTTGGTGGTGACTAGACGCCCCGCACCATAGTCACGATGATCCCGACCTGGGGCAGCGTGAATGAATTCAACATCCGCAACACGTGAATACAATCGGAGTTCATTCAAACAAAGTTCAAGATGCACTCAAAATGTTCTTAGGTGGGTCATGGAGAAATGCCCACGGTGCGAGAAGGACGGGTGCTCCGTGCGCCGCGGTGGGCGTAGCTTTCGGCGATGGAGGCGCGGAGAGACGTTCCGGCCGCGGGAGGCGCCACCTTTGGGTCAGGAGAGAGGATGGCCGACATGGGGTGCAGTCAGGACGGACGCAGGGAGAGGGACGAGCGGCGTCCGCCTGCATAGACCTACACATCGTGTAACGTGTGTCGAGAAACTCGTTGCCGGTGTATAGCCAGCCAGAACGGGTGTCGCCTGGTGCACACGTCGCGAAGCTATACCCATGCACTCAACTCCCTAGAATACATTCATCAGTCGAGCCACGACCGACTACACACACCGCGCGGGACGCAAAGAACAGCCATAAAGCTGTATATTAGATGAGGTATCGCCTACTATACGGGATATGAGGTGCGCGCGGAACACGACGCCACGGCGCGGGCACAGCCAGGAGGCCGTCTGGGAGCATGACATCGACGGGAGGGAGATAGTAAGAGTACACGCCGGACCCTATCGTAGCAACAACAGAGATGCACTAATAAGAATAAGGGTAGTGTGTGCGATGTAGAGTGGTGTACAGTATATACGTGCTCGAGGCGCCAGCGAGCGGGCCCGTGTAAGATTAGCATATCGACCTGAGAACCCTATTATGATTATAAAAAGTGCGGACGGGGGCGTGCGTGAGAGTGTCGTTGCATGCGGAGTCCGGGCGTGCAGAGCGAGAGCATGAAGGCGAGGAGAGGGGAAGAGGCGGTCACCGCATGCGGAGTGCGCGCAGCTGGTACTGCACCTCGCGGATGTCCTTGCGGTTCCACTCGCCCGTCCACGTCCCCGCGCCCGTAACCCACACGCGCGAGTTCGGGCGGTCATCGGACGCGGGCGAGGAGGCAGTGGACGAGCACTCGGGCGCGGACGCGGTCTGCTGTGGGTGCGAGTAGTCGACGGACATGCTGCGCCTGCGGTTCGGCTGCGCCTGCGGCTTTATGCGCGGGAGCGTCGCCTGCGCGCGAGGCGTGGGCGGGACGGGCGATGTGGTCGACGAGGAGCTCGCGGTCGCGGGGGAGGCAGCCGTGGACTGACGGCGGGAGCGGGGGGAGGAGCGGAAGGGGAGGATGAGCTCCGCGGGGACGTTCTCGCCGAGCGTGCGCTTCAGCTTCGCGAGCCGCTTCCGGCGCGTCTCGGTCGCAGTCGGGGTGACCGGCGTGGTAGGCGTAACGGGGAGCATGCCGCCGGAACGGGACGCGGACTGTGCGAGGGTGAGGGTGGAGGAGGTGTCTGGGGTGATGGGGCACTGCACGCGGGGGTCAGACGGCGGCAAGGCCACGGCGTTGAGGCGGAGGACGAGCGGCGTAGGGAGAGGTGCCTGCTTGCCCTTGGAGCGCGACTTCTCGCGGACGTGCCGGGTGAAGGACTTCGGCGCCGGGAGGCTCGCCGAGGACTCGATGGAGGTGACGGAATCCAGACTGGTGCGCGGGAGGAAGAGCGAGGAGGCGGAGGAGGACGCGTCTGAAGACGAGTCGTAGAACGTCGCAGCGGTAGGTGGAGGGAGCTCGAAGACAGATCCCTGGCGACGCTTTGCGTACGCGGAGGTCTTGCGGACGGGCGAGCGGCGGCCGGCGATAGGGAGGAGAGGTGGGCTCGGACACGAGGTATCCTGCTCGAGGAGCTGGGGGGTCGTGCCGAGGACTGCGCCGAGCTTGCGGGTGGTGCGGATGAGGCGGGTGCGCTGGCGGGCGTCGAGGATGTTCGACGTGGGCGGGAGGCGGGGGGAGACGTTGGCGAAGGTCGTGTAGGAGGTGGTGTTCATTTTTATACACAGGCTAGTGGGACGTACGCAGTACGGTGTGGGCCTGGCGGGATCAATGTCAACAGGGCGTAGCTGAGGAAGGGAGCGCGAGAATATATAGAACAAGAACAAAAGAAGGAAGAGGATGGGAGAGAGAGCGGGAGGAAGAGGCGACGATTGTCCAGGAGTACAAGAGTTGCCATCACAGGGACAATACGCACCTGTTGCCGTGTCCATGTTCCATTCTCGTCTCGTCCCCATCCCGACTTCCTCGCACTGCCCTGCCTCATCTCTCCTGATTCTGTGCGAGAAGTCGAGGCCGGTCGTGAGCCGAGGTGCAGTCGTTGACGGCGGAGGCGATCCGGAGGAGGTCGTCGGCTGAGAATGGAATAGACGCCCGAGAAGCAGCAGACAATGACGGGCGCCTGTGGATGTTTGCGCATCGGCTGTTGCTGTTTGCCCTCCGACCTCCACCATCTCGTTCTCGTCCACCTCCCGCTCGTCGTCTCGCTCAGCTGGTCTCTCTCGCTATGCTCTGACAGCGCTACTATGACTATCTGCCACGTCGCTCTCGCCCGCCTGCGCAGTGACTCTCTAGCAATCACTTTGAGCCGTCCGGAGTTGATGAGGGCGATGCGGTCCGCGGTCAAAATCAGCGTCCCCCTCGCGCCATCCATGCCGGATTCACTCTCCTGGCTCATGCGAGTCCGCGATATCGCATCCATCCAGCGTTTCACGGAGCACTTCCTCCAGATCCGGCCCAACGTGGGAGCGATGTATGCTAGACGACGCGGCGGGAGCGCTCTCGATGTGGACAATATATCTCTATGCTGCAGCTCTGGTGTGTTCTCGATGCGTTCTCCCGGTCTTGACGCGAACTCCGCATGACGAGGTACGTTTAGCACTGCGCCTCAAAGGAGGCTTCTCGATGCGTCGATGTCACTCCTGGGCGGTGCGCCCTCGCCTGTGCTTCACTTATCCCCGTGTTGCGCTCGGTCGAGTTCCGGATCCGCGGGTGTTGCAGACGATACAGGTCAGTTCCAGCCACTTGACCGGGGTCTACATGGTGCAACGTCACAGTACCTACGGCCGCGCTCCCTTGGTGTGCGAAACGTAGAGCGATGCATACGAGAGTTGCTTAACATCGTTGCTGATTCTACACTGTTCAAGCAGATACCGACCTCATCGCTACGTCCCGGGCGATCTGCCACTCTTCGCACACAACCAGCCCGGAGCCATCTCGCAGCCCGCCGCTTCCTCTTTACAGCTCAGCAGCACTGCATCTCGTGCCGCCACTGCGTTCCCCGACGCCGATGCTGCGTCCGTCCGGTGCACAGAACGGTGCACTCAGCACTGCGACCGTCAAGAATCGTCCGTCTGCGTGGAAAACTCCGTTCCGGACGATGTTCCGGACGTCATATCCTGTGCGTGTTCTACGCATTATGACATCTTACCTGCGCGCCTCCTGGCTGTACTTCTTGTGCACAGATTTACGATCTGCCGTTCATCACGTTCATCTTTGCGATTCCAGGTGTGCGGCTGGGATCCGGACATGTGGGGTTTCCCGCAAGCTTCGGTCACCGGCTGTCGGCGGTTCGCAACCCCGCACTTGGGGCGATGTCACGACGCGCGCGCCCGCTCGAAAGCCCCGCGGCTTATGTCTGTAAGTCCTATATAAACTCTATGTCCGGCGGAGATATGTTCTCGACGCTCTTGTCAGTACCGAATGCAGATGTTCTTCTAGACGTCGTGTCCTGTGCGCATCATATCTTGGCATCTCGACATTGTACTTGAGTACCGGCTAGCAGAACGATCCGCTGTTCATCTTGGCGACTACAACTGTGCGGACCAGATCAGCTACCAGATCCGGGCATGTGGGGTCCCCCCGCACGCATTGGTCTGGAGCTGGGTCCCTGCACTGCGTACGGCATCATCTAGCTCGCGCCCGTTCGGAAGCATCGCCACCCTTGTCTTCACGCGTCAAGAGCGCGTTCGGCCGTGTATCAGGACGCCTGCAAGGCTCGAGTGCGGATGTTCCGGACGTCGCTACATGTGCGTATGCCTTCTCATAATGCCGTACCAATATCCTACTTATACGCCATGTAGCAGCATTCTTTGCGCAACCGGACGATCCGCTTCCATGTCCCTGCGATTCCTTGCGTGCGGACCCATGGCCAATCCCTTGCGTGCGCACTGGATCCCTTACGTTTGTCCACAGCTGCCGCCCGCGCGTTTCCCCGCACTGCGCCCGTTATCAAGCTCGCGCTCCCGCAAGTTCTGCTTCCCTTATCCTCCGAGCGTCGAACGCTAACTCTAACTCTGCGCCTGACGGAAATATCGTCGGGCGGATCTCAGCGCGCCCACGGGGCTTGAGTATGGACGCCGGCTTCGACGGGCGTGGGAGGCTACCACATTGCATGCGCGCGCGTTCGCAGAACAACGCTAAGAGTACAAGGACGTTGCGTCTCAGCGGTTCGCTCATCTTACTGTGGGGTGCATTGTACTGAGACGCGGGATAGACGCGAGAGGTGGATTTAAATTATAACGGCAGAGAAGCTAGCGGGAATGACGGTATGTTGCCCTCTGCAAACGAGCCCTGGAAGTTTGTCGCTGCCGCTCGAGCCGCAAGTGAGCGCGAGAGGTAGGATCGCTGCCCCTCAGCGGGACGACTGTGTCAATGATCACACTCCGCTCTACATCCGAGCCCCACGATCCCGTATAAGTAGGTGCTCAACGCGAACGTCGTGGTAGGGCTCGCTGCTCTCCGTGAGTAAACCGTTCCCCGAACGCGATGCGTCCGCGGCGCGGCTCGGCTTCGATGCTGCAATGCTCGCGGCGCGATGGTTAACGCATGAACGAGAGGTCGTTGCTCCGAGGTGGACCGGCCAGCTTGGGAACGGAACGCACGGCGTCGGCGCCGTTCGATGGCGCTGTACACCATTCTTTCATAGCTGAATATGCGCGTACATGGCTGGACACTATCCTCATGGTGAACGGCGTCGACGAGGTACCCCGGAATCTGCCACATACCTGCGGAGCATTCAAGGAGTGCTCACCTACAATAGCAGGAGAAGACCGACAGCAACAGAGACGGCGGCCGTAATAAATATGCGTACCTGGCACGGTACGCTTTTGTGAGCACTGGATGTCCCAAGGGCAGAGGGTTGTGATATAGCGAATGCACGGGATTGTTCGTGCGGATACTCACTGGTGTCGGACCATTGTTCCGACCGTTGGCAGGGAGGTTCGCGTATGCCGGGGTGTGCAAGAGACGCAGCCGCGGAGAAACCGTCGGTGCTCGGAGGAGCGCGACGATCGTGTTTTCATTTTATGCTGGAGTCGCTCAGCTCTCTGTTCGCGCGCGGTCGAGTGTAGCACCAAGTGCGCTGGAGGTGGTGCACGAGAAAGGACTTGAGCAGGAGCTGTGGCGGAGGGAGAGGCGTCGGGGGCGCTCGTCTTGTATACCGCGGAGGGGTCGTTCCTTGATTTTACGTCGGAGCAGCGAAGCATCTGTGTGCTGAGTACCTCCGTGGACACGAGCGAGGCCCTTGACATAGCGTTTGGTAGGGGTGCCTGTGCCAGAGAATAGAAATAGTGGGGACGATCGACGATCATCGCTGTGATCGGGAGCGTGGATCTGACGTTGTGTGCTCCAGTGGGACCCATCCTCCGCGTCTATCCTATCTGATACCACCGCGACCAGGTCAAGGTCGAGTACGACACTCTCGCAGGGCGTTCGATGCGCGAAAAAGTGCAGAGGGAGGAGAGGCGGATCGGAGAAGGCAGATGCTGTCACCGGAGCCGCTCGGAGGGCAGAGGGGAGATCTAATCAGGAGAGGGGATGGCCTCCTGCGGGATATCTGATAAGCGGGGTTAGAACTATCTGATAAGATCCTGTCGCGTCCGTCCTGCTGGTTCTCCTTGACAGATGTTTGCTTCCCCTCCAGACCACCGCGCTGATCTCTGCAAAGGCACATGGAGCGGTATATAATCCCGCCATCAGCATGTCCGGCCCCCCGCGCTCTGCTTGTTTCCTCCCCTCACGAAGCCAGCGATGTCTTTCGAGAACGAAAAGAAACCGCCCTCGTCCCTCGACGCGCTCCCCGAGGACGCAATCCCCAAAATCGACCCCGAGCTCGCTAGGAAGATCAGGGAGGAGGAGGATGCCCACATCGGTGTCAAGACAGTAGAGGCCGCGGAGAGAGTCTACGGCCGTTGGTCCAAGTGGTTCCTTTTCATTGGGTGAGTACAGTCGCGTTCGAGTTCGCGAGGGGACGCGTCTGACCGCGTGTATGCGCGTTCGCAGTATCGGCCTCGCGTCGTACATCTACTCCCTGGATGGTCAGACGACATACAACTACCTCGCATTTGCCACCTCCTCTTTCGACAAGCATGGCCTCATCTCGACCATCCAGGTCGCGCAGTCCATCATCAGTACGTCCGCGGTATCCCCCTTCGCGTGCATACACTCACCTTCGTGTGCACAGTTGCTTGTGGAAAGCCCGTTATTGCCAAGGTCGCGGACGTCTCGTCCCGTGGGACATCCTACATCGTAGTCTGTGAGTACCGCTCCTTCGCGCCTACCGCGCGCCATTCGCCCCCGGTGGCCTATCTATTCGCGCCGCGTCTGCTTTGGACGATCGCGCCGGACGTGTGCACTGTGCACCCACGTCTGTTACTTAGGAGGCGTTTCCTACCATACGCCGCGTTCCGCGCATGTCGGCCTCTCGGTTCGCCGCAGAACTAGTGACTCGCTGACCTCCCGCCCACAGTGGTATTCTACGTAATTGGGTACATCGTTATCGCCTCCGCCAACGGCGTCGGCGCCCTCGCGGCCGGTATCATCTTGTATGCCATGTAAGTGCGTCGCGCTATCGACGTATATCCGTTAGCTGACAGGCTACTCTGTAGAGGATACACGTACGTTCGCTCCGCGACGCTCGCGCGCCGCATATACTCACCCGTTTTGCAGCGGACTACAGCTGCTCACGCAGATCATCATCGCCGACATTACCACGCTCAAATGGCGTGGTCTCGTCTCCTCGCTCACCTCGGCGCCGTTCATCATTAACGCCTTTATCGGCTCGATGGTGGCGACGTCGATGCTCGAGAACTCGACTTGGCGCTGGGGTTGTAAGTTCCGCATTCTTCTCCCTTGCCCGACGCCAAATGACTGACACTAAATCTCCCCTCGCAGACGGGATGTTCGCGATCCTCATCCCCGCTTCGCTCTCGCCCCTCATTATCACCCTCTTCTGGGCCGAGCGCAAGGCAAAGAAGCTCCAGCTCGTCGAGGCACCCGTCTCCATGCTCGACGCCCCCGTCCGCGTGCCCATCCTGCGCCGCATCTGGCTCTACGCCGAGCAGCTCGACATCGTCGGCCTCGCGATCCTCGGCACGGCGGTCGCCCTCATCCTCCTCCCGCTCACCCTCGCTCAGGGCGCGAAGGGACAGTGGCACAACCGTGAGTGCACCCCGCGTGCCCTCCGTAGTTGCCCGTTCTGACGCCGCGTTTAGCTTCGATGATTGCGATGATCGTCGTCGGGTGTGTCTTGCTCCCTGTTTTCGCGATCTGGGACGTGTATTTCGCGAAGCGCCCCGTCATTGCGCACCGTTTCCTTACGAACCGGTCGATCGTCTTCGCGTCGTGGATCGGATTCTTCGACTTCGTACGTCTGTGTAACATTGCGCCGTTCGAGCGACGCTAACCGCCCTCGCAGTTCTCGTTCTACCTCTCGTTCACGTACCTGTACTCATTCGTGCTAGTGACGAAGTCATGGTATGATCCCCGCAGTACTGATATGTCGTGCGCCGCTGACGCGTATCTTGCAGGTCGTTGATCAACGCGACCTACTTTGCGCAGACGCAGACCGTCGCTCTCACCGTCTTCGGTATCACAGCAGGCTTCGGCATGCGGTACCTTCACCGTTACAAGGTACGTCTTGTACTAAGCTGTACTGAGCGCGATGCTGACCCCCGCGCTGCATCCGTAGTGGGTCCTCTTCACCGGATTGACCATCCGTCTCCTGTACGTACCACCTCCCCCTTCGACCCAAACCGCGTACTGACGCACTCTTTTACAGCGGCGTCGGTCTCATGATCCACTCGCGCGGCGCGAACGCGTCCGACGCCGAGATCGTCTGGACCCAGCTCCTGCAGGGCATCGGCGGCGGCTTCGCGGCCGTCGCCTCGCAGGTCGGCGCGCAGGCATCTGTTCCGCACGTCGACGTCGCGATGGTCACTGCCATCGTCCTCCTCTGGACCGAGATCGGCGGCGCCGTTGGCAGCGGTGTCGGTGCGTTCTTCTCCGTCCTCGAGCGTTGTCTGGGTGCTGACGAGCGACACTGTGCGTAGCGGGCGCGATTTGGACGAACACGATGCCGAAGCAGCTCGAGAAGCACCTGCCCGCTCTCAACGCGACCGAGCGCGCGGATCTCTTCGGGAGCATCACGACCGTGACCGCGCTCCCCTTCGACGACCCGACGCGCCAGGGCGTCATTGCCGGTGCGTACCCGTCCTCTTCGCGCCGTCTAGACATGGACGTTGACGAAATGCGCGCGCTCGCAGCGTACGGCGACACGATGCGCGACCTGCTGATCGCCGCGACCGTGCTCTCCGTCGTGCCCATCCTGCTCTCGCTCGGCATGCCGAACTGGTACCTCGGCGACAAGCAGAATGCGGTCGACGCGGCGGACCTCAAGGGCGAGCGTGTTGTGCCGATCGGTGAGACGCGTGCGGGTGCGCGCACGGTGGACGAGGAGAAGGGCGTGGAGCGGGTGTAGGCAGTTGTGGGATGAATGGTATTGTACGATGTTGGTGTTATAGGCTGAACGGATGGATGGAATCTGCCTGCATTGACATGTTCTCGCTGTGCCCTGTGCACATGGGCGCATACATCGACGTCGTACACTGGTCTTACAACAAGAATATGACGATGGAATTGGAACATCTGCCCCTGGCGCCTGCACACAAGTGTGTGTACGACAACATGGCACAGAGCTGCGCATACCGTGCTCGCCCTACTCTAGATGGAAGATATCCGGGAGGATTTCCCAGAGCTGTGCGCGCTCCTTGTGGATCCCTCTTCCGAAGCTCCTCCGACATTCACAACACAGCATCTCCGAGCCCCCGTCGTAGTCGTCGAGCTCTAGTAGCTTGCCCAGCGGGTCGTACACGATCTTCGTGCCCCATACGCGGTCGCGTGCCGCACAGAGGAAGCGCAAGCACGGCCGGTCATCCACATGACAGGATCACGTTCAGCTCTCGCGGGGGCGGACGGCAGTGCGCACCTAGTATCGTGCCCCTGCTGAGCTCGTGCGTGACCTGGTCATTAACACCTTCCAACGACCCTCGGCCGAACGTGTAGCGGAAAAGGTTATCCTTGTCGCAAAGGCTCCATCGCGCGCACGGGAACATCAGCCTGAGTGTCCGATGCCCAGGCTCGAAGCCGATCTCGATGGACGCGACGCTGTAGAATACGGAAGGCAGTAGTTCTATACACCCGTATTCCTGCGCGAATGCGATCGCGGAGACCGGTTCTGGCGCGGGGTTGGCCAGCTCTGCGCGCTGGGCGGTCGTCAAGGATGGGCGATGCATGAGTATGCATTTGACGGTCTGACGTGCGCCGTCGCTGATGTCCCAGTCGACGAGCGTCGTCGGCCAATCTTAGGCGACTCGTTGGATCATATTTGAGCGGGCCGTGTCGAGGAGGTACTTTCCGGCAAGTGTGACTGCGACCTTGAGCTCGACGGCGGTGCCGGGGTGAGACGAGCGCAATAGGTACCGGCTGGTAAGGGGGACGGGTGAGTATCTGTCAGAACGAGATTAAATGCGATTACGCACCCGGAATCGTATACTTACGTATAAGAGATGCGACAGGCCCACCGCGTCGTCTTACATGATAATAAGAGACCTCCCATCGTATGTTGATCTAGGGCTCGCGGAAGCGTCGGCAAGGAGGGTAGAGAAGACCGGAGAATGAGTGGACAGAGCATCGTGGTAAACGCAGAACAATTAGAAGGTCTATTGGCTACCTTCGAACGAGGCGCGGGTTTGTAGAACAATGTCGCCGTCATCGAAGTAGAGCTCCAGGTGGCGCTGGATGCCGGTCGTTTCAGTGGAAGTCGCGGAGCTATCCATCGGAAGTCGAAGTATGCCAGCTAGCGAAGCACGCGAGGAAACGTGCTAGGTCTGTGAAAGTCGCGGACGGTGGTCGTGGAGCTTCAAGTTGAGCAAAAGGGTAAGCTGGCCAGACTGCCACATCAGCGCATAGCGAAGTTGGGAAGGTGGCCTGCCTTTCTCAGCATGGGTACGCGACGCGCGTTCCCCTCATATACCTTCGCGGCCTCTCATGAAGCGGCACGGCACGTTTTCTTAGGCTGCGTACTACAATGCTATGCGGAAGCCAAATGTTCCATGGACCGCATTGCGCGGTAGTGAGAGCGCGATACAGAGCGCGCAGACGAAACGAATACGAATACGTGTAGTTTGGAGGCACAGACATGCGTAGACTTGCAGTGGATCGTGAGGGTCGCGCCGGCATAATCCGAGTGAACTATCGTAGTAAAACAAGGCGGGGTCAGATATAGTCATCAAGCAATGATTTCGGGGTGAAGAACGTACACCGGCGTCGAAAACCTAGTCATAAACGTAGCGAACATCGAGCACGCCTCCTGCGGCGAGAACGTGATGCTTGTAAGATTTCATCCCGCTCCCAGAAAGACAAGGTGAGCCTCTGCGCGCACGGGCAAGCGTTACACCAGCACACTTACCGCGCGCTACTCCAGACCGAATATTTGCGGAAGGCGCTCCCAGAGCCGAGTGCGCTGCTCGTACACCCATTTTCCAAACGTCTCCCGGCAGTCGCGACACAGCGTCTCAGGACCCCTCGGCATGACCGCAATGCCCAGCTTGTCGTATTCGTCGAGTTCCAGCAGTTTCGAAAGCGGATCATACGTGGGTCTCGTACCCCACACCCGATAGCGAATCGTCCGCAGGGCGCGCAGGCATGGCCAGTCGTCCGTGTCCACATCGACGACCCCGAAGGGCGGGCGGCAGGGCGCATGCAGCATCACGCCCATGCTGAGGTCGCGCGATACCCTGTGATAGAGAGCTTCCAACGACTGCCGGCCCGTGATGTAGCGAACGAGGTTGTCCTTGTCGCAGAGCTCCCATCGCGCACAAGGGAACATCAACATGTGGACCCAGCGCTCAGGGTCCTCGCACCACACAGAGCGCACATCGATGGACGCGAGGCTGTAGAAGGCTGCCGGCAGTATCTCCGCGCACCCGTGTTCCTGCGCGAATACGATCGTGGACACGGGCTCCGGCGTGCGGTCGGCCAGTGCCACGCTGCTGGAAGTTGCGCGATACGCGTCGTACATCGTGCGTTCTATAGCCCGGCGTGTACCCTCATTGATGTCACAGTCGTCGAGAGTGGTTGGCCAGTCCTGCGTGACTCTCTGGATCATGCTTGAGCGGGCCTTGTCGAGAAGGTACTTATCCGCGAGTTTGACAGCACCCCTGAGCTCGACTGCGGTGTCTGGATGGAACGAACGCAAAAGGTATCGACTGGTAAACGGGGACACGGTGAGTGAACAGTGAAACAATCGGAAATGCGATCACGCACCCAGGATCGTATAAGTACAAGAGGAGATGCGCGAGATCCGCCGCGTCGTCCGCCATAGCAATGAGAGATCTCCCGTCATACATTGATTCCGTACCCGCGGAAGCGTCGGCGAAGAGGTTGGAGAATACCGGAGAGTGCGTGGACAGAACAGCCTGATGAACGCAAAACAATCGATAGTTTCGTTGGCTGCCTTCGAACGAGTTTGTGGCTTTTAGAACGATGTCGCCATCATCGAAATAGAGCTCTGGGTGACGCTGCAGGCCAGTCGCTTCGGTGGGGGTTGTAGAGCTATCCATGGGAAGCCGGAGTCTTTCGGTGAGCGGAACGAGCAAGGGAAAGCGTGAAGTCTGTGAGTGAGTAGAGCTCGAGCAAACGGTGAGCTGGCCGGTGGCCACATTGCCACATCAGAGAAGTTTAGAAGGCTGTCTTCCTTTTGGCGCGTAGGTACGGGCCGCATGTCCCCTCCATCTTCATCGTACTTAGCTTTCTCCATGCCCAGTAGACGATCCATCTAGGCATCAAGGATGCGGTGACAATGCCAATACCATTCAAGCTTCGCGGGTATCGAAGCCAGCCGCCGCAGAAAGTTCTATCGTTTGGGCGTTGCTGATTTTGCCACATACCGACACAGTATATTTCAGAGTAACAGGATCTAAGGTCAAAATTGTGAAGCCTCAGGAGCGAGCATAAGAAAATATCAGAGTGTGCGCAAGAGGTGCAGATGATGGTCGAGAGTAACGAGCGCAGCCTAGCGAGCGCTTGTGTGTACTTGTGGCTGGCGGCAGGCGGGCGCCGAGAATCTCCTTCGCCTCTACCTTTCTCGTTGTGCGATTTAAAATCGCCTACGTAGACTTCAAATAGCTACACGGATTCCACGCGGACGAGATATCGACATACGACGAGCGAAGAAAATAAATGAATGAAGACAGAACTACATCGACCATCGCGCGCGGCGGCGCCATACCTTTCCCAACGACCGTGCTTCACAGACAACTTAGAAGCTAAACCTCGCCCTCGCGCTCCGCTTCGGGGCCAGAGTTGATATTGCGAAAGTCGAACGCCCTCAACAGGCCCTTGTGCGTGGCCTTGGTCATCGTGTACGTCTGCGGGAAATCCTTGATGGTCTTCGCAAGGTTGAGGTGCGGCGGCAGCCATCTCTCACGCACTGACTAGAAGCCAGCTGCCCTTGAGCAGATACCAGCACGTGTCGAGACGCTCCTGGATAGTGTAGAATGCCTCGCACAAATCCGCTGGCAGAGCCACGGCCCGGTTGTTCAGTAATTCCTGATAGCTCGTGGCCGCGAAGATCCTACGACGTTCTCTCTGCAGAGCTGCTTGCGCTTCGCTATCGAGAGCATCTTGTACGCCGCGGAGGTAGACGGTGCTGACGAAGACCCAGCAGAATGATTCGAGGTCGTGCGCTGCGGTGCGCGCAGGGGTCGTCTTGTCCCTGACGATGGCGCGGAGAAGCTCCGTGGCCTTGAACATCGCTGTATCCTCGAATAGTTGTGAGACGATATCCCGTAACAGGAAGATCTAGAATGTGCGCTTACTGTCACGTTCTCTCCACAAATTCTCGGTCGACGGCGGAATACAGTGCGGGCTACAAGTTGCGTTCTCTCGTGTCGCACGAGACTCCTGCGTACGCACAGGTGTCGCTGCCGCCAAAGTAGAGATTGGGCCTGCTACCGCATTAAGCAAGCGAATTATTGAATCAGAGTGGGAGTGTACTTCACTGAGGTATGAGAAGGGCACAGAGCGGTGGACGCGTTTCGAGACCTCGCAGTTGTGGGCGTTGAGAGGCAAGCAGTAACGCGATTGAGCGCCAAAAGCTTCGCCCGCCCGAACCGCCTCGTCGTCGCGTAATTTGCTCCGGACACGCCCTTCCCTGGTTCTGCGGAATCTATAAATCTCCGTGAATAACCATAGCAGGGGCGCTCCAACGCGACGCGAACACTTCTGCGTACGAGGTGCTCACATGTGACAAGCGACAGGCGTCCTGAAGATTGGACACCGCCAGCACTTGGGGGTCTTAACCCGCGAGCACAAACTCGAATCAGCCCCATAAGTGTCCGCATGATATGGGTGTCCTCTCGCGTGTATGAGGTGTACTAATACGATGAAGTGAGCGGACGGGGCGCACCGTTAATGATACCCGAAGCCACAGCCCCTGAAGATGCGTCTACATTCGCGTTAAGTGTACAAATGTTCGAGTGAATTGTAAACCATAGATACAGTCCTGATCGTATAGTGTCAGCTGAACATACAACTCTCACAATTTCAGAATGACGGGGTACTTGCCGACAACTACAAGCCGCGTTCCGGTTTCTGAAGCGCGTGCCGCGATGTCCTGTCCACATAAATCAGTACGTTTGGGCGCGATAATCAAAAGAACGCGACGTACCATATCTCGCATGCGCTAATATCCCTACGTCAGCTTGAAGAACACCGGCAAACGACCCCAGAGCTCCCTCCGCTCCTTGTCCACCCAGGATGAGAAATCCTCCTCACAGTGGGCACAGAGCCCAGTCGGGCAAGCCTCCTTCAGCGTCTCCAGGCCTCCGTAGTCGAGCAGGTCGAGCAGCCCTTGCAGCGGGTCGTGCGTGGGTACACGCCCCCACCGCAGCTCGCTCAAGATGTATAGGAAATAGTAACAGGGAGTTGGGACCTCCGGCGGATTATGCAAGTAGCACCCGTCGGGCGGGCCGTCGATGGTCCACTGGGCGTCGCAATCGTCGGCCAGTGGCTCTCCAGCCCTGAGACGCGCGTAGACCGTGGCATGGTAGTAGGCGAATGATTGTCTCCCGTGTGCGTAGCGCAGAAGATCCTCTCTGTCGCAGAGAGACCATCGCGCGAAGAGCACTGCGGTCGAACGATTGGACACCTGTGACAACTCCGTATCCCAATCGTTTGCGACTTCGATCGAGGCGAGGCGGTAGAAGGCGGCAGGTAGAATATCGGGGCATCCGTGTGCGCGCGCGAAGTTGATCGCGGCGACGGGCTCCGGCGTATGAAGGGCCACAACAAAATGCTGAGGATGACCAGGTCCGATCTGAAAGATCCGGCGGTTGAGATTCCGAAGTTCGTGTTGGTGCACGTCCCACTAATCGAGGGTCGTAGGCCAGTCCAAGATGACCCGTTTTACCATGGCTGAGCGGATGGTGCTCATGACGTACTTGTCGGCGAGCTTGACAGCACCGATAAGCTCGAGGGGGGTGTCGGGATGCGACGCGCGCAAGAGATATAGGCTGTCAGGGACGTCTGTGTCAGCATGCACTCCGCATAAAAATCGATACGAGTACTCACGAGGGGTCGTACAAGTACAGGAGAAGATGCGCGAGGTCAGCTGCGTCATCCGGCATGTTGATGAGAGGTCTGCCTTCGTACGTCGACCCGAGATTTGCGGAAGCGTCCGCAAAGAGGTTGTGAAAGACGACAGAGTGGGCACTTAGCAGAGCCGTTTGGATACAGAAGAGCTGAAATTTCGGTGGATTGTCTTTGGACGACATGGGGGCCTGCAATACGACATCCCCGGGCCCATCCTCGCGGTAGAGTTCAGGGTGGAGTTCTAAGACGGGTATCACCGTCTCGGACGTCGCCAGACTACCCATAAGAGTGGATGAAAGTGTAATAGAATGACTGTGTCGAAGCAGAAAGAGCGAAGAGGAAGCTGAGGCGAGCGACGACTCCTTCGAGGCGGCCCTGAGTTCGCCAGCGTGACATGCCTGCTAGGTAGGGTCACTGCCTTCCTGGGCTCAGGCAGTTCCCGCCCCTCGTCTCCCACGCAGTGGGGACCCCAAGCGATCATGGTCAGTCATGGTCTGGGCACAAGCACTCCGGAAGAGTGAGATGCGCTCTTGGGGCACGAATAGACTGGGATGATGGTCCGGAGCAAGATGCGTAGTCGCCCGAGCGCTTCCGTGCAGCTGTGGCTGACGGCGGCCGACAAACCCGCTTTCAAACCTCACCGCGACCCCAGACCTTCTCTCTCCGGATAATATAGATGATGAACTACTTCTGCATCATTTACAGGTTCTTGGCTAAGGAAGACACTGTTTTAACTCAGACTCTCTTCAAGAGAAGAAGAAAACCGCCGGAAACAAGCACTGTCACGATGGCCCCGGTGTGCGGCCTGCGTTCGTGAGTGTCAAGTACGCAAAAATGGTACAGCAAAGGGTACAGGTAGTATAATCCTACATAAGCAGTCCTGGTGGTATCGTGTCAATTACGTTCGAAAGACGCGAGTTAGAAGTGCCCGAAAGCGAGATACTTACTGACAAATACAAGCAGCGCTCCGAATGTGCGTATTGGTACTACAATGACCTGTCTGTGCGAATCAGTACATCGACGCGCGGACACGTCGCACCGCATGCCACTCACCTCACGCGTCTACTTCAGCTTGAAGTAATCCGAAAGGCGTCCCCATAGCGCCATCCGTTCCTTCGTAACCCAGAGTGCGAGCTCCGCCTCACAGTCAACGCACAGCCCAGCCGGACAAGCCCGCGTAAGGTCCTCAATATTCCGATAGTCGATCAGATCCGCCAGCGCCCTCAGCGGATCGTCCATCGGCACCTGTCCCCACCCCATCTCGCACAACGTGTGCATACAATGCGCGCACGGCGAGCGAGGGCTCGGCCTCCCGTTCCAGTCCCACTGCTGGCCGACGGCGCCGCCGGGCACCCAGTATAACGACTTGCAGTCCTCCGCAAGCGGCTCCGCGTTCTTGAGACGCGTGTACACCGCGGTGTGGTATTCCGCGAGCGCCTGCTTCCCACGCATGCAGCGTAGGAGGTCCTCGTTTGCACACAGCGGCCAGCGCGCGAACAGCCGCGCGCTCGGATGGGGGAATTGGTCCAGCACGGTCCAGTCGTTGCCGACGTCGATGGACGCGAGGTGGTAGAATGCGGCGGGCAGAAGCTCGGGGCATCCATGCGCGTGCGCGAAGTTGATGGCGGCGACGGGCTCTGGGGTGAGCCGGGCCATGACGATGTACTGGGGATAATCGGGGCGCGTGATGAGCTCCTCCATGGCACGGATCCTGGCTTGATGAATGTCCCACTGGCTAACGGTGGTTGGCCAGTCCATCGTGACTCGCCTGACCATCGCTGCACGGACCGTGGGCATGACGTACTTGTCCGCGAGCCTGGCAGCGCCGAGGAGCTCTAAGGGGGTATCGGGGTGCGAATTTCGCAAGAGGTACCGGCTATCCAAGGACGTTTGGGTCAGCATGCGGCGCATCAAGACAGAAAAATTTGGTACGCACGAGGAATCATACAGGTATAATAGGAGATGGGATACGTCGGCCGCCTCGTCCGCCATGTTGATCAGTGGCTTGCCATCGTACGTTGGCCCGACGTTTTCAGAGGCGTCGGAGAAAAGGTTGGAGAATACATCGGAATGGGCACTCAGAATCGCCTTCCGGACGCAGAATAGCTGGTACCTCAGTGGATGTCCTTCAGACGAGATGTGGGCCCGCAGAACGACGTCTCCGTCATCGTGATAGAGTTGAGGGTGACGTTCGTAGCGTGGAACTTCGGCTACAATGGCGAGACCATCCATAGGAACAGGCGATGTGTAAACAAGCAGAATATTAGAGCAAGAATGAGGGGCCGAGCTTGCCGTCTCGAGGAAGTACTCGAGACCGAGACAGGAAGGGAGAGGAGGGAAGAGCAAGGAGGTAGGAGACGAACCGCCGCTTGGAAACCGCTACTCGGAACCGGCCGCGCGTTGCATGTTCCGATTAGGCAGATACGTTCCCTTTGTGAGAACAAACAGGTTAAAGTCCTTGCCCTATTCTTGTGCGCGGTACCATTCTCTTCATATCGCACAGATGAGCACTCGAAAAGGAACATAATCATAGCTTTTCCGCACCATTATAACCCGCGTCCGCGCGCATCTGCGAATGACAAGACTCAGACCGCTCCTACCACAGCATCGCGCAATGTCGAGTCCGCGACGACTACTGTGTACATCATGTTCCCGGAAGCTCTCACCCGGACCACGTCATCGAGCAGCAGCGCCTTTACGCTCAGAATATTGCTGAAAATCGCGATCTACTCAACCTGAATGCGCGCAACACTCAGACGTATCGCAAGACTAGCAGGAGGTTATATCGTGATCACTATAAAATCGTCTCATGAGCAACATAGGACTGTGATCGAGAGAGACGGAGAGACTTACCGAGTATACTGCGAAAGGGGACTCCACGGTTTTCGCGAGGGACGGGAAGGATCGAGTTAACTGGGGAGCGTAGCGGCCTGCAGGCCCCATTCGAAGCGCTGCAGGCACCGAGCCGCTATGAAACATGCTCATGGCGGCAGACTGCGGCGGTGGCTTCCAAGTTGCTGGATCGAAGAAGGCTCAGCCAAGTGCATCGGACACAAAAGCGTGCAAGAGGCGCAGCAAGATCTGGTCCATCGATGCCGAAACTCGTAAGGCGACTGTTTGCAGGTAGTTCGTAGTTCTGCTATCCCAGAGTCGAATCTTAGTGATTAATAGTCCGTTGAGTGGAATTGCAGGTCGGCAGTGGCTGAAACATTAAGTGTGAGTGCGTGTGGGCCAGCGACACGCGGCCCAGCCGACCGAGGTACCATATCCTGGCCAAGGACTTGCGCAGAGTGGAGCTGTGAGTTTTGTCGCTGCGCAGGTATCCTGAGCCTGTAGCTAAGAAATCGCGAGCGAGACGGGCCAAAGGATGCAAGACACGAAGAGCAAGCGATGGCAAAGTGATGGTCGGGAGCAAGAGTAGTCGTCCGGGCGCTTGTATGCCATTGTGGCGTGGGCAGAACGCGCCCGCCGTCGCCGTCTTTTGTTTCCGACCGTCTTGTCAAAACATAGCACCGAGCTTCCTAGCAACAGCGAGATAATACTATGTCTTCGCTCAGTGGGAGAGACACCTGGTCTCTTTTGTTAACGAGCAGATATATCAGCCATGTACGACTGGTGAGTGGCAGTAATTCCGGACGTTCATTGTTCAAGCCCACTGACTGCGCGCGTCGTGTACTAGCACTCCCGTCGAATCCACCGTCCTCTGCGACCCCATTCTACAACCGCCGGCCTGGAGCTTGGTATTGAAGCCATACGCAAGTCGAAAAGCACTACTGGAACCTCCACCTCTCTTCGTCATGCGTCACCTTTTTGCGTCCTTTCTCGATAACTGGTACCCGCGACACGCCAACACCCCGGCGACTGGTTCCGGACTCGAAGCCCTTCCCATCGAAATACTCGAGATCATTTTTCAGTTTGCGTGTACCGATGGCGGTCGTACGGGATGCAATCTTTCCCTCGTATCCAAGTACATCCGCGCCACCTCCCGCGCCTACCGCTTTCATTCCGTTTCGATGCTCGCCGGCATCTCCATCCAACTCGATCGCCTATTGAGCGCTCTCAAGGCTGCACAAGCAGAAGCACGAGCGGAAGGCGGCCCGATGCCTCGTGTGCGCAATCTGTGCATCCTCCTCACGCCTGCCTTGTACCCACCGGGCGACTTGGGCTTCAAAACCACCGATCTAGACCGCGCCATCCGCCAGCACCAGAAAGCGCTGGTGGCAGGTGTAACACGCGAGGGCCACGTCGACCACAACTTCCGGATTTTCAAGGTGTACTACGTTGCCTTCCGGAAACTCTTCGCCGCGGTCCACGCCGATCTGGAGACACTCTGTCTTTTCCGACGCTGCTACAGCAGCTATCCCGCTACACCACTGATTCCGTGCCCCCGGGGTTTCCCTCGCCTCCGGGAGTTCACGTTCAATGAGGACCTCCCGCCGTTCGCACCTCCCACTGACGGCACACCCATGTACCCAGCCCTGAAGCGGCTGCACATGACGCTGCTCTGCGAAGATGCCGAGGTGGGCTTCCCGTGGTGGGCAGCCAATGCGCCGCAGCTCGGCTGGCTCCGCATCAACACCGTACACCGCGTCGCCGAGTTCGACGTCCGCATCGTGTCCCAGCTTGCGCACGTCCTAGGTACGCCCTCCTCCACAACGTCCGCTCCCGTCCTGGTTCTCACTGCCCGTCTCCTTCAGGCCCAGACCTAGACGGCCGTCGCACGCGGCACCCAAGCGCACCTGTGCCCTCCTTCGACCAACTTAACACTCTCATGCTCATGATCAGCCCAATATTCCGCATAGAATACCCCCCTCCACCGCCCGTCGCCTCCGCCTACGTCGCCTCCGCCACAGCGCTCGACGCCGAGCTGCGCGCGCTCGGCGTCCCGCATACCGTCTTCCAACCACATTACAGCGAGCAGGACATTCCTAAGTCGTCGAGGTTCCCCCAGCTGGAAGAGGGCATGCGCTGCGACTGGCTCTTGCGCCTCGGAGGCGGGGAGGGGCTCTTCACACCGGAGTTCTGGACGAGGCCGCGGGCGGACTCGGAGATGCGGGTGCCGGGGACCCTGGAGAGTCTGCTAGATCTTTGGAAGGCAGTGCGGGCGAAGTAACGGATATCAGAGTGCGAGACACTCGACGGAGACATGTGCATTATATCCTGGGACGTACGCACATACGAACCATCATACGAAGTGTTCTACTAAATCATCCGTCGCATTAGCCGAATCTATGCACATAATGTAACATAATAAGCTAACCGCAAGGTGTATACGAGATCAGACAGGACTTGTCCTAGGAACGTGAGAGTAAGGATGCATATGGCGGTCGGGCCGTAGTCGTTCAGGCGCTTGCATGCTGTTGTGGCGCTGCGGAAGCACCGCGCGAGGCGCTGTAAGTCGTCTTTTGTTTTCAACCATCTCGTCGAAACACAACAGCTTCGGATCCATGGCAACAGCGAGAGAATATCATGTCTTCGTGTGCTGTGGACAACGCTTAGGGTGCTTTATCGTCAAGGAAGAGTTATATACCTGCCATGTGCGACGGGTGAGTTACACTGACTGCGTCGCCAATTCCACTGTCTTCTGCTCACTCATTCCACAACCAGCTGGCCTGGATCTCGGACTTATAGACATACAGAACTCGTAAAGGGCGGTTTCAAATTACTGCCTCTCTTGCTTCATCATGCGTCTCCCTTTCACGTCCGTTCTCGACAGCTGGCACCCACGACGCAACCGTACCCAGGCGACTTTCAGGCTCGAAATTCTCCCCCTGGAGCTCCTCGAGATCGTCTTCCAGTTTGCGTGCACACACGGCGGTCGTACGGGATGCAACCTTGTCCTCGTATCCAAGTATATACGCGTCACGTCCCGCGCCTTCCGCTTTCACTCTGTTTCCCTGCTCGGTGGCATCGGCGTCCAACTCCATCGCTTCATGCTTGCTCTCCATAGGTCACGCGTAGAAGCACGCGCAGAGGGCGCGCCAATACCCCGTGTGCGCCATCTCTGCATCTTCCTCACGCCCGCGGTAGTCCCGATCCGGCAGAACATAGAGACCACCGACCTAGACCGCGCCATCCTCGAGCACCAAGAAACGCTGTTCACGCATCTATCGCACGAGGCCCACATCGCACATGAACGCAAGGTGTTGAAAATCAACCTCAACGCCTTTGTGCACCTCCTTGCCATGGTCCGCGCCGATCTCGAGACGCTCTGTCTCCTCCGGCCTCGGTTATGCAGCTTCCCCGCCCCACCACCGATTGCGTGCCCGAGAGGCTTCCCTCGCCTCCGGGAGCTCACCTTCCACGGGGCACACCTATTCGCGCCTCCCACAAATGGAACGCCCATGTACCCCGCATTGACGCGGCTGCACATGACGTGCCAACGCAAAGACCCCAACAGGGATTTTTCGTGGTGGGCTGCGAACGCGCCGCAGCTCGCCTGGCTCCGCATCGACACCATTCGAAGGTTCCCCGAGGACGATTTTCACATAGTGTCTGACCTCGCACGCGTCCTGGATAAGTCCCTCCCGGAGTTCAACCTCCGTACCGGTTCTCACCACATATATCCTTCAGGGCCTGATGTAGACCGTCATCCATGGCGCGGCGCACACACGTCCTCTCCCTCCTGGTCCTCCCTTCAGACACTCATGCTCATGGTTAGGCCCCTATTCCCTCCCGATTACACCCCCTCCCCGCCCGTCGCAGCTGCCTACACCGCCGACGTCTCTGTACTTGATTCCGAACTGTGTGCACTCGGCGTCCCATGCACCGTCTTCCAGTCGCACTACGATCTGCAAGACATCCCCAGGCCGCGGTGGTCCTTGTTTAACGGCGAGACGGAGGAGGGCATGCGGCTAGATTGGCTGCTACGCATTGGGGGCGGGAAGGGGCTTTTCACGGTGGACTTGTGGACGAGGACTCCGCAGGCGCCGACACGGACGCTGGGGAGGCTGAAGAGGCTTTGGAAGGCCGTGCGCGGAGACTAGTACGTTCCCAGGTAGTCCTCTGTATGTACTGCATTTGAAACGGAAACGGCTTGGAAGGAGCGGCTTATGGGTGACCGCGATCTAGCTACCGCACTGCAGCGACTTCGGCGCGGTCGCACATCACTCGTTCAACTCTCGCACGTTGTAATATCGTGGTCCACAAGCATATCCTGGACATGACGGCCGGGAGCAAACCCGTACTGGGCGTTCGGAGGGCGCTTGTACGGCGCGGTTCAGTGGCACGGGGTGCACCGAACCGGCAGCGCCCGCCGTCTTCTGTTCTTGATCTTGTCGAGAAACAACACCACTGCAGCGGAACAGAACCACATCTCTGCATACTTCTAGAAAATCAGTCCCTTTTGTTCAGGTGCTATATATTTCACAACTGCGACCGGTGGCTGGCACTCACTCGACCTACATAGCTCTACGCTTCCCCCCCTTGGTTGAACTGCTGCCGATTCCGCCGTCATCCACGACTTCATTCCAACTTCAACCAGTAGGCCTCAAGATTAGATTGAACGCTATACGCAAGTCGTCAGTACACAAGAAATCTCTTGCTTCGTCATGTATCGACCTTTTACGTCCTTCCTCAACGATTGGCTCCCCGGGCCGCAGCCTCACGCATCCGCCACTTCCAAACTCGAATATTTCCCCAACGAGCTTCTCGACATCATATTCCCGCTCGCATGCACTGATGGTGGTCGTACAGGATGTAACCTCGCCCTCGTATCCAAGTCCATCCGCGCCACCTCCCGCGCCTCCCGCTTTCACTCCGTCTCACTCCTCTGCGGCCTCCCCGACCGTCTCGAGCACTTCCTGCGCACTCTTGACGCCGCGAAGGCTGAGGCGCGTGCCGAGGGTGCACCGATTCCTTGCGTACGCCATCTCTGCATCTCTCTCACGTACGCCTGGAGTCCTTTGAGCGTGAACACCAACGCCTTGAACGCTGCCGCGCTAGAACGCTGGATGGGGCTGTACACCGAACTATCGCCCGAGGCACTTTACGCACAAAGCGAGAAGGAAAGCGAAGAATATCACGCCGCTTTCCTGCCGCTGTTCAACGCAGTCCGCACCGACCTCGAGTCACTCTGTCTCCTCCGAGAATCCTACACGGACTATCCTAAACCGCTGATCGCATGCCCCGGCGGTTTCCCGCGCCTCCGGGAGTTTACGTTCAATGAGGGTCTTCCACCATTCCTGCCACTCGACGATGCCACGCCTATGTACCCAGCTCTGGAGCGGCTGCACATGTCGATTCGCGGCGGCGACCCTCCGGCGGACTTCCAGTGGTGGGCGGCGAATGCCCCGCGTCTCGTCTGGCTCCGTATCAATGCCGTACACCTCTTCCCGCTCAACCCCTTCCCCGTCGTATCGGATCTAGCACGCGTCATAGGTATGTCTTATTTGACGGTCATCCCAATCATCCGCCTGACTGAGCTCATTTTACAGGCCCCAGCGCAGACGACCACTCTTGGGAACGTCCAAACGTACGCCCGTCTTCTTTCTCCCAGCTCCAGACGCTCATGCTCATGGCCCACCCCGCCTTCCTGCCCCCCGAGCCCACTCCACAAGTTGCAGCCGCTTATGCCGCGACCGCCCCGGCTCTCGACGCTGAGCTGCGCACACTAAGCGTCCCGTGCACCGTCTACCAATTGCACTACGACCGGCAGTCGGACACAGTCGACCGGAGCGCATTCCTACCTGAGAGGTTGACGCTGGTGGAGGGCATGCACTCTTCGATGCGGATTTTTGGACGGGGACACAGACAAAGACGCGGGCGCCGGGAGTGTTTGGAAGGTTGTGGAAAGTTGTGTGGGGTCCAGATCAGGACGTCTACTAACACAGTGCTGTAACGCGTACCGTAGCAGTAAGAGATTCCAAATTGACATGCATGGGTGGTCGCTATGTAACATGTTATAGCGTCGCATTCAGCAGTTATGGCGGCTCGTCAGTTGCTTACATCACCCTCGCGCTCCTACGGGGTCGAAGGCATGACTTACCGCCTATCCAAGCCCGTAGTAAGGCGAGAGCCCACTCAAGTGACTACTTTATGCCGTATCGCAGGCAGGTTTTTTTTCGCGATTACACATATTCAAAAAGTGGCATCCCGCGCCATATATATGTATACACAATCTAGGCAGCCACAATATCGACCGTAACGCGACATGAGACTCGGAAAGGACACAAATCAGTAGAAATAGATAGTACCACCACGACACAAACCCCGATGCCCATCATAGCTTCCTTGGAACACGCCCCATGACCTCGCCGGTGTGGTTGCCCTCGCCCCCTCGACAAGATCACCTTCGTCGGCCAAGGCGAGGACTTCGGGTTCTACGCCACATGCTCGCGCCCCATCTCGGATCCAGAGTCTCCCCGCTTGCGCTTCCGCATTCTTTCGGGTGTAGAGAACACAAGCAAAACCATCTCGTGCGTCGCTTTCGTAGATGAACCGAACGGTGCCGGAACACGGTCTCCAGCTCCTTCGGCCATCTCAGGTAAGGTTCGCATACGGCGATTAGGCTGAAAACATTTGAGGTAGTACCAGCACGTGTTGAGACAAATTCTGAGCGTCTTCTCCTCAAGATCGTCAAGGTGCGCCCTTAGGCAATCGATGTTTCCGAGGAATTGGTCCTGGTCCGAGGGAAGAGCCACCCAACGTTTATCCAACAGCTCCACGCAGCCGATCGCTGCAAAAATCTTGCGGTACTCGCTCTGCAGATCCGATCGCTTCTGGCCTTTAGGCATGTCACGCAAGGCGCGGAGGTAGAGAGTGTAGATGAACACCCAGCAGAAAGACTCGAGATCGTGTGCTGCGGTACGCGTTATCGTCTTGCCTGCGACAACAGCCTGAAGCAGCTCCGTGGCCATGAATGCCACTGTGCCCTAGGATATTTATTAAACGGTGCTCGCGCCCACAAAGGTTCGGAAGTGGTGCTTACCGTCATCGTCTCTCCCGCCTCCTTAGCAGCGGGGTCGGGAACAGGGTAGGAGGCGAGCTCGAAATCAGTGAGGAAGCCCTCTGTTATCGGAAGATCTTGCGTATCAAATCGTTCATCGAGTTCCTTCTCGGGGATTGCAGCCTGATAGACCGTGTGTACGCGGATGAGAATGTTTCCAGCACTGATGTCACGGTGCAAGAACTTTCGCTTGTAAAGGTTCAGATGAGCTGTACATGCCAAGTAAAGTCAGAGATTGATCTGATACCGCGACATGCTGCACACATACCTGACACAGCGGTATACATTGCGTCCATCAATTCTTCGCCACTACTGTACTCCCACAGACTCTTCCCAAAGTCGTTCAAAACGACACGATGGAGAACCGCATCAGGTTGTATGCCTTTGGTGAACTCTGGTAGTTTCCTGAGAGCGCGTACCGTCAGGGTACCTCCCTCAAGCTGAGCATCACCGCCCGACTTGAAGCTGGCCATTCCTTTCGGTATGGCCTCGCCCGCGGCCTCAAACACAGAAGCTATCTTCTCGTAGATAGCGGATTCGGCTAGACGTCCCTGGCTTCTCCAAGCATACTTGAGGATGACCGGAAGACCCGACGAAACATCAACTGCCTTCCAGATAGCTGTCCCCCGACCTAGCATAGACTGCGAGCTCCACATCGGCAAACCGAAGGTGCGCACTTCGACCGAGTCATTGATCGCTACTAGGAAACGCGGTGGCGTCTTCGAGTAGTGCCCGTATCCTTGCAGCAAGACCATGGACGGGTCGTGACCGAGCTCCTCCGGGGTGATCTCCCACGTGAATCGTATGATCATCTTGACGAAGTCTCGGAACGCAGCATCGACTAGCTGGTGGTCCTTGTACAGCGCGACCGGCGCGGCAATGATAGCGCCTCGGCGATCGAAGTAGCCTAGACACCAGCTATCGCCGCAGAAAAATATACCGTACACGTAGAGTTGGAACGGGCGAGCATGGAAGAGGATGCGAGCGTAGTCTGCGCCTTGAGCAAGCGTGTCCTTGATCGCTTTCTCATCCCGTGTGATAGGAAGATCGGATGCTGAGCCCTTTACCTCGATGAAGGCAGAGCAATGCCGCCACAACACCGACTTGGGATCGAGATGCGTGGTAAGAACACCCTCGGGGGGAGAAACCTCGGCGAGCGCAAAGTCTGGTTTGCCTCGTGCCTCTAAGATGTTGGGGATAAGCGGGTCTTCCCAACGCAACAGCTCCTTGTCCTTGGATACGAAGCTTCGATAGTACTTCCTTGTCTGAGGAGACACCTTGGCGCATGCCTTCTCGATGCTAGCAAAAATCGCAGCCTGTATGCGGGTTTGTGTCAGTACTATATGAAATGTCGAACGGATTGGTAACGTACCATGGGTGGGTAGAACTTAACTTCGGAGCCCGACTTGGCGCAAGACAGCTCCTCTATCAGCACAATTTGCGCATGGCACTCCTCTTTGACGTCGTCGACAATCCGTGTAACGGTAGCCTCGTTCGAGGTCAGAGTAGTGACCTTGCCTGGAAGGAATTTCTTGGTGAACAGCTTGCGGTCCGAGTACTTGACGTTGTGTACGAGCTCGTCTTTGAAATTCTTCCGGTTGATTTCAGTAGAGCGGCCTTCGGGAAGAGGGGTCCAGCCTGCAGTGGAAGAGGCTTTGGGGGCCGAGGGAGAAGTCTGTTCAGGCGGGTAGGACATAGCGAGATGTGCGTGCTTACTTTGTGGGGGCATCCGAGCGGGTTTATATACCGTGGATGTCTGCGTATGTTTGGAAAATGATGTCGCAGCGGCGCGAAGTGGACGGCGCAAGGGTGCCTCGTCTGTGAGCTCACAGATAGTCGGAAGAGGAAGCTGAATTGCCGGGAGACTGGTAAGGGCTGCCACAACGTGAGGCGTGCAGACTGTTATAGCAGGCGCAAAAACGTGATGTTCCTCGACGGGGCGGAGGCAATATGTTTTCTTTGCCACATGCGTTCAGAAGGGGCCACGCATACGGCGAAAATCGCAGACATGACTCACCCTGAATAAACACACGGCACGCGGCGATGAAAAACGCCGCCTGGTGGCTGGTGGATGTGGTGCGGACTAGACTAGATGAAATGCGTCAGATGCGTGGAATCCTGACATGGAAGGAGAGCGGAAAATTTTCACCTGCCCGTTCAATCTTCGAAACTAGTCCCCAATTATCGTACCGTCCGCACGACCCGATTTGGCAGGGTTGTTCGCGACGCAGCGAGGGCGGTGTTGTGCGATGCAACTGCAGGCCGTACCGTCGCCACCGGGCTTTCTGTCCAAAAACGTAGTTAGCTCCCTTAGTCCACAGACGTATCTCGTGCACGAGGCGCACATGTGTCTCTTCCGCCAAGAAACCCTAATAGATCGTTGGGCCTCGCCTTCAGGGTCTTCGGATGCGCTCAGGTGCTAGTACGACAACTGAAGATTCCGAACGGTGGCTCAAGCCTGCTTCCTATTGAAGATATATGGATGAGACTGCTGTTCGTTGCTAGATGGGGCATTTTCTTACGTAGTTCCAGGGCGATGCGAACGAGTCCGGAGAAGAGGACAGACCGGTGATGGTTGTGGCGACGCTCGTCGGTGCCGCGGCGCTCTCAGCCTTGTGAATCCGGGTGCCACTGCACATCGGAAGCGCTCATGCCGTCCGGCGCCTATGCACGCTGTGGCCGCTTCGACACCTACTCTCATCAGCTTTCCTCAGCCTCCCCCCGCCTTTCCTTTTGGCACCTGTTCATCTCCGCAAATCGAGTACACTGAACTGGAAAATCGGCGTGACTCACGTATGTGTCGCGGGCGTCTGCAGTGCGGGGTGCTACGAGTACGTAGAACTTGGCCAGGAACCCTTACCCGCAGCGGCCAGCTCTTCCTCATATGATTCTGATTTCTAATAGTAACACACACATGGGCGATTTTTACCCCTAATCCTTAGGATGTAGCCATCATTGGAGCACATACGCTCCTCTTCGTTATGCTTGTGTCCACAGAAGCCGGGCAAGCAGCTCCCGAACTTCTGAAGCTCTCAAACACCTTCCCGCCACATACCGTATGGCGGATGGCGCGGTTCCACGCCCAATCCCGGTGTAAGTCCTCGTTTTTCTGTTTCTTTATATGTAGCCTCACCGCTGTTCGATAGGAGGAGCAAGCCCAAGGTATCGATGCCGGTGGCGTCAAGAAGTTTCGGCTCTCGAATTCTTACTGGGCCTTATCCTCTCCAGAAGCCATGGTCTACAGACCAAACTCGCCGTTATAGCCTCCCTCTTTCATACCTGCTTACTTGCACGACTCCGGAAGTTGGCTCCTCGCCTCTCTCGCCGTCCTGCTGTCGGCCGTTCTGACGGTGGCGTCCCTGACACCTGAGGCTCCATCTCCGCTTGCGCTACGGCCCCCCGGCCTCCCGGTGTGAGTACAATCTGCTTTTGACGAATTTACCTCACCCTGCTATCTTTTCGGTGTTGCGATCACCACCATACGGGGCTTCGCGTCCTCGCGGATCTCGCCCCGACCTTCACTGTACGTATACCATCATCGCTCATTGTGATGTACGTTTTCTGACTGTGCTCTCCCGTTGAAAGGATGTGGAGGGTACCCCGAGATGTTATGCTTCCTCCTACGGCGCCACTACCTCATCTACCCTGCCAAACCCCAAAACTCCATGTCCATGCGTCTTTGCTCGTCTCCGTAGCTCACATTCAATCAGGACCTTCCGTCACGCGCTCCTCCCAACAACCTTGCGTTTTGTACCCGCTGTCCACGTTCTTAGCATAGCATTCAAGATCACGCACATTTTCGCACACTGCATGCTCCGCCTCACCGCACACTTACCTCGACACCCGGGGACGCAGACAGTCGCGCCTCCCTCTGCGCTCTCAACACTTTTATCACACGCATTCTCCGTCCCATTCCGCTGCCCGAACCCTCTCCTCGGGTCGCCTTCAGCCACGGCATGTCTCCTCACACCAGGTCCTTCGCCCTGCACGAGCTTGGCGTGCACCATTTGCTACCGTGGCTGGTCGTGCTGCGGCGGGCACAATACGGGCAGACCGAGGGAATTCTGGCAGAGCGATTCCCGGGAGAGGCATGCACCGCGACCGGCTGCTCCGTGCGGTGGCGAAGATTGTTCACGCCCGAGTTCTGGATGACGGCACGGGCAAGAGACGCTAGCGCTGAGGATGCTGAAGATGCTGCGGCTTAAAATGGAAGGTGTGCGAAGACTCGTACGTAGTATTAGGGCCTTTCTGATATGTGTAGCGCAGCAGCAGCGCCTTTCAAGAAGACGTGCATGGGCGCTCACTCTTTACTAGGAATGAGAACGTCGCCAATAGGTTCTTGTGCGTCCCTTTCGATGATGTACCGAAGGTACCCGGAGCGTCCTCCGCAACTCCCGGGGCTATGGGAGGTAGGGGTCGCGTACTCCGGGTATCTTCTCGTCAGACTTGACAGCAGCTCTGAGGAGCGCTGCGGCGACAAACACTGTTATGGCCTGTTAACATGATCAGATGAGCTCCGCGCACGAGAAGCCTCATCAGGGGTGCTTACTGGCGATGTCATTCGCGATCTCGAGCCGGATTGGCGCGACGATGTTCGATGTGAGCTGGAGCTTGTCAGCGAGAGGGCCTCCCTTGTGCTAACGAAAGATTTGTGATCTCTATTCGCTCGGCGTAGGATGATGTACGTACCTATCGCCTACATAGCGTCTCACAGTCTGGGGAGCTGAAGTCGATGCAAGACAACAAACACGAAGACGCTCTTAGGTCGGCTGGGAGGCAGCCAAAAGAAGAATCGGGTCGCCGAGAGACTGGTAAGAATTTCCACCAGGTTTCGCTCGGACGGTCGATTGAATAGTGTATTACTCGAGAACGTGGATTCACGGATATAGTAAACACAAACGCAATGAACCATCTGCCTAGCAATACAAATGTTCGACGACCAGTACAATCTCTCCCACCGGGGGTTCATCCAAATATCCGGACTCGTATCACCAGTGTACGTGCGAGGCTACTTCCTCTATAACATACTGATCTCCGTTCAGCCTTGAAGATGGCGCAGGGGTGAAGCATAGTACTCACCGCACGAGGCTTACTTCTTGAGGTCAAAGAATCCGGAGAGAGACGTCCATAACTTATGCCGCTTCTCGTCGAGCCAATTATCGAAGTTGTGTTGACAGCCGAAACAGAATGTCTCTGGGCAAATTTTCTTGATCTTGTTCGCCGTGTGGGGATCCAAGTCGTGCGTGTTCAGCTTTGACAGTTGTCCCAACAGATCGTAGTTCGCGAGCTTCTTCCCCCATACGACGTCTCGGAGCGTCCAAAGAAGGTGCAGGCATGGGTACATATCCCGGTCGACAGAAGGCTCGTCCCAGGGGTCGGGAAAGTTGCGTGTCCACCACGGGATACAGTCTTCCCTCAGCATCTCGCCATCGGTCAGGGCAATCTCGATAGAAGTGTGGTACGTTTCGAGCGCCTTCCGTCCCTTGACCCAGCGAACGAGGTTGTCCCTATTGCACAGCGACCACCTCGCGCCCCGCGGCGGCTCCGTATACTCCTGTGCGCCGGTCCCGGTGGAGTCCCAGTCGTTGTCAATGTCGATGGACGCGAGCATGTAGAAGGCAGCGGGCAATATCTCCGTGCAGCCATGCTCCTGCGCAAACACGATGGCACCCATGGGCTCCAGCGCGCGATCCGCCCAAGCATTGGCGGCGATGTGTCGACCGCGCTGACGGATAAGCCGATTGAAAACCGCATTCACGCCCTCGCGGAGGTCCCAGTCGTCGAGGCTTATCGGCCAATTCATCGTGACTCTCTTGATTATAGCCAAGCGTACCTCGTCCATGACGTACTTGCTGGCGAGTCTGACCGCGCCGTGAAGCTCAAGAGGAGTATCGGAGTGGCACGGCCGCAGTAGATACTCGCTATGAGGATATTCCATCAGTAACGATGAGAAACTTGGAGCATCTGACAGGGACGTACGAGGGGTTGTATACGTATGAGAGGAGGCTGACGATATCCTCTGGCTTGTCAGACATGTGCACGAGCGGTAGGCCCTCGAAGCTCTGCTCCTGGCCGGGATATGCGTCGGCGAATAGGTTGGAGAAAAAGTCTGAGTGAAACCTCAGAATTGTGGTGTGGACGCAGTACAGCTGGAAGGTGCATCGTTCCGGGCTGGACGGGAGTTCGGCTTGTAAGACAATGTCCCCGTCGTCGAAATAGAAGTCGGGATGACGCTCGAAGGTGACTGGGACTTCCCCGGCACCCGGCCGGGGGGTTGTGGGGTTGGCACCCTTCGCCATGGGAGTACTAGTGGCAGAAGCTGCGAGGAGTCGGAGAAACTCTGGTCCGAGTGACGGGAGGAGGAACGAGCTAGCAATCGCAGCAGTTCAGGTACTATAGAGAGGTGCTGCGTGACGCGGCAGGATGAGGGTCGTTCACCACGTGGGCGTGCTTCTTGGGCAGGGCAATGGCCCATTCATGAACTGGCTGCGAACCCGATGCCGACCGCGAGACATGTATAGCATCAGGATTCCAGGAGCTGTGCATGACACGCGCGGTCCATGCACGGGGCGCGTGCGAGCAGTCGCAAGGAAGACATAAGCATATCTCAAATATACTGGTGACAAATAAAATAAATCAACATTGTGTCGTTGAATTGTAGAAGTTGGATGTTGTCCACCGACGACGTGCGGAAAAACTTGAACATGGCTGCATCGTGGCTACTACGGACGGCGGTGACCGGCGCGGCCGTCTAGCCCTGACGAAGGAGCGAAGTCGTCGTCCATACATGGTCCGCCATCTTCCTTCTCTGTAGGCCAACGTTCAGGCCCGAAGTGATGATGTGCAACAGGTTTTGACGTACTCAACTGATACACCTACTGAAGCCTGAAAAAATCGGGCAATCGCTTCCAGACCCGGTCCTGCTCCCCGCGAATCCAGATTTTCAATTCGCCATGGCATTCGCGGCACAGTCCTTTCGGACACGTGTTCTTGAGCATGTCCAGCGTATCACAATCGTGCGGGTCCAGCTTCGTCAGTTTCCGTAACGGGTTGTACGAGGGCCTTGTCCCCCACACCATGTCACGGAGCGTCCACAGGAAGTCCAGACACGGGTAATTCTCCATGTCCCGCTCGAACGGCTCGTCGCTATCCCTCGGGTCGGGCGGATCGATGATCCACCACGGAATGCAGTCCCTAGCTAGCATCTTACCCCCGCTCAGAGACAACTGGACGAAGTGGTGATACGATTCGAGCGCATTGCGCCCTCTGATCCAGTGCACGAGGTTGTCCTTGTCGCATAGCGCCCACCGCGCGCGCCGACCCGGGTCGGGATAGTAAGGTTCCCCGCAGTCTGCGTCAATGTCGATTGTTGCGAGGCGGTAGAACGATGCGGGGAGGATCTCCGTGCAGCCGTGTTCCTGAGCAAAGACGATGGCGGAAACGGGCTCTGGCATGCGGTCGACCCAGGCATCGCCACCGGCAGACTGCCAGTAGTGTTGGTTGTGCATGGCGTCTACACCGTCACGGACATCCCAGTCTTGCAGAGTTACTGGCCAGTCCATCGTGACTCGTTTGATCATGTCCGCGCGTGCCTGGTCCATAAGATATTTGCCAGCGAGTCTGACGACGCCCCTGAGCTCGAGAGGGGTGTCCGGGTGGCACGGGCGTAGCAGATATTCGCTGAAAGGGTAATTGAGCAATGGAACAGCATTATTCGAATGTCAAGAGTTATATTAGGGCTTACGATGGCTTGTATACGTATAGGAGAAGACGGGCGAGGTCGTAGGCATCGTCGAGCATGTCCACCAGTGGTCGGCCGTCATAACTCTGTTCGAGTTTCGCACAGCCGTCGGCGAAGAGATTGGAGAACACGTCCGAGTGAAAGCTCAGGATAGTCTTGTGTACGCAAAACATCTGGAATTTCTGTTGCCCTGCATCTGATGAGAGCTTTGCTTGCAGGACGACATCCCCGGTCGCAAAGTAGAGTTCGGGATGATTCTCCCGCATGATGTTATTGGGACGAGTGGCGGCGGGGTCGACATGTTCCATGGGTCTAGTAGTACGGAAGTGAGTCGGCGACAGAACAGTACGACAAACGACTGAGTTAGACCATTTGCACAACTTACCACTTCCTGAGCGTGGTGGTCGAGAACAAACGTGAGTGGCGAGCGCCAGCGAGCGCCTCAGGGGGCCAAAATTAGAGTTATCTTCAGTGGCACGCCCGGGCCGGCTATCCCGGCGCCTCGCAAGGGCGGGATGTGCACACGATGTCGACTGCTCGCGAACTTTCTTGCTACGGCCCAGTTCGCAGCTTCGTACGGTTCTCACCCCCACCGCACTCAGTGTCGCAGCTTGCTCTCTGCCACACTGTTGAACATCTGAGCTTTTAGCTGGGGAGCGCTGATCATGGATATCATGAACGCGTCCTCGAAATCCCGGACTAGGCACTTAAACTCCAGGCTGCTCCCACAGCCAGCGGGCACTGCTGCGACCGGAGCTACCGATGCTCCAAGATACCCTAGACCCCTGGCGTCCAAGGCATACAGCGTCCTGCTTTCTGTCGTCGCTCTTCTGCTCGCCGGCCAACTCTTTCGCCTCGTTCTCGGGCCTAGCACGGGACACTTCACTGACGCCTCGAGGAACGCTCCGCCCGCGCACGCTGCCAACGCATTGCACAAGTGCAGCCTGCTGGAGGTTGAGAGCGGACCTCCTGCAGAATTTGGGTCCCGCAAACGGTCTGATCGCGCTGTTACTGGAACGAAAGCAACTTTGATAACCGTAAGTGTCCTTCGCGTAAGTATTCCTCTGACTGCCATAAACGTATACCTTCGCGGCTTCCACAGAACGCTGCGATATGGACCGGACGCGACGAAGGGCGCGAGGTCCTTAAGGGCGACATCCTCCTCGATCAGGGGTTGATCAAGTGGATAGGCCATGTCGACGAACATCTGCTCGACCAGTACCAGGACCTCGATCGCGTCGATGCCCGTGGACGATGGGTCACGCCCGGGTATGCTCTATCGTCATTGATCATTCAGCCGTCCAAATGAGCTCACTCGTACTCTGAAGCATCGTCGATATGCACAGCCACCTGTCTGTACACACATTTCCCATACGTCCGCCAGCTATTGATCATCTTCTAGAGGTGTCAATTCCGCGCCGAGTTTGCGTGGGGCGAGCGATGGAAACTCTCGCAAGGGTCCCATCCTCCCAGTAAGGCCAATGTCTGGTATCGCGCATTTGCGTACAACTGACCTTCGCGTTCGCAGTGGCTACGTGCTCTCGATGGCCTAAACACCCATGACGAAGCTTACAGGCTGAGCGTATCTGGCGGCGTCACGGTCGGTATCGGCTCCCAGGTCGATTTCACCTTTCCGCACTGACCTGCGAGCTTTACCTAGACCGCGCTCGTACTTCCAGGGTCTGCCAACGCGATAGGCGGACAAGGCGCTGTAATCAAGCTTCGCCCTCCCACCGACCGCTCGCCCACTGGAATGTTGCTCGAGAGCCCGTACGAGACCAACACGACCGTATATGACCCCACCACCCACTTCCGCTTCCGACAGATGAAGTAAGTGTCTCTATTTCTCTTTATAATCATACATGTCTACCTGCGGCTGATGCGTAAGTTCAGACATGCGTGTGGCGAGAATCCAGGTATCCACCCGCCGGTTCCTCCTCAGTTCAGACTTTGCCGCTAACGGTAACCCCCAGGACGCGTCTACTCGGGAACGCGTATGGATACCGTGTGGGCATTCCGACAGGGGTACGTTCTCGCCGCCGAGCCGAGTCACTGTGAGCTTATGAGATGTCCAACAGCTACGAGAAGGCCCGTCAGATCAGAGATGCGCAGGACGCCTATTGCGTGAAGGCACGGGATGGACAGTGGACTGGCCTTGGCGAGTTTCCCGAAGATTTGCAGTGGGAGGCTCTCGTAGACGTCTTGAGAGGACGCGTTAAGGTTAGCAGGGCGTTTCGCCTCGTTGTTCTCGTAACTTACGCCTACGCAGGTCCATACGCACTGTTACGAGACAGTCGACCTGGACGATCTCGTCAGGGTAAGACCCAGCCGTATTGTAACCCGTTGCAAGCTAATCGGCGGCCCGGTAGATCTCGAACGAGTTCAAGTTCCCGATCGCCGCGTTCCACCACGCTCACGAAACCTATCTGGTCACAGACACCCTCAAGTCTGCATACGGTACGTATTTCAAAATCCTGTGCCGCGCAATCCCTGATGTAAAGTCTTGTAGGCAAGCCACCTGCTGCTGCTCTGTTCGCTACCCATTCACGTTACAAGCGCGAGTCATACCGCGGCTCCGAGTTCGCGCCGAGGATCCTCGCGGACGCGGGCATCCAGGTCGTCATGAAGGTTCGCGTCCAATCCTCCAGTTGAAAATGATACCTGACCACGGATTGACTGCCCGCAGTCGGATCATCCCGTACTTGACTCGCGTTTCCTCCTTTTCGAGGCGCAGCAAGCGTATTACTACGGCCTCCCGCATAACCTCGCACTGTCTGCTGTGACCGCTACGCCAGCGACGATCCTTGGACTTGATCACCGTATCGGGTTCCTTGAAGAAGGTGAGTACCACTCTGGCCGTCGACGATCGCATACTAAAGAAGCTTTGCATCGTCAGGATACGATGCCGGTAAGCACTCTGCGCATATCACACAACTCTTCAGCCATTAACATTCCCCTCCAGACATCGTCCTGTGGGACAGCCATCCCCTCGCCCTGGGCGCCACCCCACAGCAAGTCTGGATCGACGGCGTCCCCCAGCTCGCAACCCCACACACCGCCGACAAGCCCGCGCACTTCCAACGCCTCCCCCAGACGCCGAACTTCGACAAGGAGGCCAAAGAGGCTTTGAAGTACGAAGGCCTGCCGCCGCTCGGACCAAAGGCCTCCGTGTCGCACACCGTCGTGTTCGCGAACGCGAGCACCGTGTTCCTGCGCGACCCTAGGGGCTCAACGGGGATAAAGCAGATCGTGTCCGCTGACAGCCCAGATGCTCCGCTAAGCATCGTCGTGAAGGAAGGAAAGATTGTGTGTGTCGGCTCGGCGACGAGCGAATGCGCGCGCTCCGTGCTGCAAGACTCCGCGAAGGTCGAGTACGTCGACCTCGAGGGCGGCTCGATCGCCCCGGGGCTTACGACATTCGGCTCTCCGCTCGGCCTGGAGGAGATCATGGGCGAAGTATCCACCAAGGATGGATACGTGCTCGATCCTCTGCAAGATGCTGTCCCCAAGGTAGTCGGAGGAAACGGCGCACTCATCCACGCAATCGACGGGTTGCAGTTCGGCACTCGCCACGCCCTGTACGTATCTCTTCCTTCCTCGCTCTCCCAGCCGTGCTAACGGCAATTTTGTCAGCATCGCGTACCGCGCGGGCGTCACCACGGGCATCGTTGCGCCCGCCAGTGGCGGGTTCCTCTCTGGGGTCAGCACCGCGTTCTCCCTCGCCGCGCCGCACAAGCTCGCGGACGGGGCGATCGTCCAAGAGTCGGGCGCGGTGCACGTCGCGATCCATCCCATGGGTGTGCCGAGCGTGAGCACCCAGATCGCCGCGCTCCGCCGTCTCCTGCTGCATCCGTCCGAGGGCGAGGCCGGAGTGTGGTTCGACAAAGTCAAGAACGTGAGTCCGACCATACATATTACCACATAACTCTACTGAAGGCTCGTTTTGTAGGGCGAGGTGTCACTCGTCGTGGAGGTCGAGAGCGCAGACATCATCGCGACGCTCATCAGTCTCAAGTCCGAAGTCGAGCACGCGCTCGGCACGCAGCTCAAGCTCACGCTCGTCGGCGCGCGCGAGGCGCACCTCCTCGCCTCTGAGCTCTACGCGGCCGACATCGGCGTCATCCTCTCGCCCTCGCGGCCGTACCCGTCTCCCTGGGAGGCACGCAGGATGTACGTCTCGTCTCGTCCGCATTGAAAACGAGCTGCACTAACGGAATTGCCGTAGACTTCCTGGCCCGCCGTTGTCCGAGAAGAACGCGGTGCGCGTGCTGCTGGAGCACGGAGTCACCGTCGGTCTGGGGGTGAGCGTCGCGGACAAGGTGCTCAACACGCGCTTCGACGCTGCCTGGGTGTGTCCTTCTCTCTACGCATCTCTGCGCTCCCTTGCTTACCGCGTTCTCGTGTTCCTCGACAGGCGGCACTGGAGGCCGACGGGGCTATCTCGAAGGAGGAGGCGATCGCACTCGTATCGACCAACATCGAGAAGCTGCTCGGGATCAGCAAGGGCGAGGGATACGGAGATATTGTAGCTACACGTGGTGGTGATATTCTCGGGTATAGCAAGGTGGTGGGTGTCGTATCTCCCAGCCGGGGGGTCGTCGACATGTTGTAAACTGATAGGCACGGGGATGATGCTACGCCCAATGCATTGTATATGGCTCGCATTGTATGCATGGTCTTGTATAAGTCGTATGTTTGGGATGCCGCACGTTGAGTAAACTTGAGTGCAGCGGAGTAGAAAGAAAAAAGGTAGAGAATTCGATATTCCGACACGGGGAATCGAACCCCGGGCTATCGCGTGAGAGGCGATAATGTTAGCCACTACACCATATCGGATGACGAAATGGACTCTCCGCCACAATTCATACTCGAAGTCAGCGAACATCAGCCGCCACCCAGCGCGAATTCAGACGCGCGACCTGTGAACACACTTCGCTCACGCCTCCATCCGCCTCGCGCGCCGACCCACCATGGAACCCCTCCCCCTGAGCAGACAACCCCGCCCGGACGGCCCCATGCGCACCAACTCGAGCGGACGAGGAGGGCCCATGCACGACGACCGCGCAGGCAGCTCCGCGCCGTACCCCCAGTCCGCGAGCATGAAGGTGTGCCCCTCCCCCCCTCCCCCTGCGCGAACTTCAAAGGGTTGAATGTGGTGCGGAATGGCAGACGCTGGCACCGCCGGGACACCGCGGGACGCGGTACAAGGACAAGTGCGTGTTAGGGGTGGTAGGGCGTGAGATGGGCGGCGATTGACGGCGTGCAGGTTCCTGGCGTTGCGCGAGAAGTACGACACGGTGACCGCGGTGCGTCTTACGCGATTTCTCTTCGGTGCAGTGTCTGCTGGTATACTGACTGGGGACGCGTGGATTCGTGCAGACCCACGAAGAATACGAGCGCGAGCTCCTGCGCGCAGACGAAAAGCTCAAACGGCTCCAAGAAGAGTGCAAGTACGCCACCCGCCCCCTCCCCTCCCCCTCCCCACACACACCTAACCCCACCCCCAACCCCCACAGCCTGCTGCTCGACGCAGTCGACATCGCCGTCCCCGCACAGCCCACGCTCCTGCACTACCTCGCGCGCGACCCCATCCCGCCGCAGTACTACTCGCACACGGTCCCCGTGCCGTCGAACCTGCCGCCCGAGGTGACGATCCCGCAGCACTGGCCGCCGCCGAACGCGCTCCCCGAGCCCGGGCCTCCTGCGAACTACGCCCAACGCCCGCCGTCCCCCCAGCAGCCGCCCCCGATGCACGCTCAGCACGGGGCGCACCCGCTGTCGCGCACGCACTCGCATGGGCATGGGCACGCACCCCAGCCGTTGCCGCCGCCGCCCCCACCCCAGGCGCATATGCATGCGCCACCGCCTCAGCAGCAGCAACAGCAGCAGCACCATATGCTTCCGATCCAGGTGGAGACTGGGCCTCCGCCGCCTACGACTGGGAGGGGAAGGGGCCGAGGTCGGGGCAGGGGCAGGGGGCGGCGAGGGGCAGCGAATGGACGTGGCGGGAGCGCGAGTGCTGCTGGCTAGAGGGCCTGCGTATTCTGGTGAGTTTGTCTGCTTGCGTTCGAAATGGACGGAAGTGCTGAAGCGCTGAAGGTTGGGTACGCATATAGCCCGTCTTCAGACTTTTTTTTTCTTGCTGGCTGCTTTGTACCACTACTGTTGTCGATCATTTCTATGCTGGGTCACTCGAACACGTCCGTCACAACGGGCACACTCAACCTCAATTCTCCGAACAGACTGATATTACAGAGACGTATAGGGTGGTATTACATGCATACAACTTCTATTCCTCAAAATCCCACTAACGCTCTAGCGCGTCGTCCCAAAGTTCTGGCCGCCGAGGGCACTCTCATCCGTCTGCACGCCCGCCGCCTGGTGGCGCGCAGGCAACGGCGGGGCGGCAGTGCTCGTCGCGGACAGGTTCGTCGCAGTCGTGCCGGTGGGGTGGCCGGTCTCCATACGGTTGATGCCCTGCTCGGTCTGCGCGCGACCGACGTCCGTCTCGGCGTGGTGGCCACCCGTGCCGGTAGCGTTGTCGACGAAGTCCATCGCGTTGCCGCGGACGGCATTTCCAAGACCTACAAGAGCGCAGAATAAGATCTCTGGTTCTGACACCACGAGTCGGCGGATGAGAAGTTCGGTGCGAACCTTGGACGGTCTGGAATGCACCCCTGCAACACATCATCGTCAGTTCGCGATTGGGGGCACATCTAGAGCAGAAAGATGTACTTGACAGTGTTACCGAGGCCTGCGCCCATGCTCTGGCCGCGGCTGGGGTTGGTGGAGCCCGAGTTTCCAGTGGACATGATGAGTTGCGAGTGGTGCGGGAAGTTGGGGTGAGTTATGCGGCAGCTGCAATTGCGGGGGTCGTTGAGATTGGAAAGAACGATGCGAGGTCGAGAGCTGGTGTTATATACCCCAGCTGGCTGAGAGCGCCACGGTGGGGTGCTCCGAGATGGAATGACATCCTCGTCCGCCCAGAGCCTATGACGACATCGTGCCCCATGTGCGAGGAGCATAGGCATAAACAAAACGTGTTACCGTTGGGAATCGAACCTCGTACTTGGTCGTACTTGGTAACATCCAGGAAGGTAGCCCGGGATGTTGTAGACTACTTACTGATATCTTCCATGCGAGGCCGAGAAAATATGGTACGTTAAGGATGCCACAGTAAGTGAACTTGGGTAACAATAGTACAACCTAAGTACAACTAGTTTAGGGAAAAAGATACTCTCATTTTGGGGTATTCCGACACGGGGAATCGAACCCCGGGCTATCGCGTGAGAGGCGATAATGTTAGCCACTACACCATATCGGACATATTTTTGGTACTCTAGATTGTTTGTATATCGACATCGCGTCCAACGCTGGCTCAACTTCAACTTCAAGTTTATGCAGTAGCCCTCTCTTCGTCGTCGACCACCACGTCGACACGCCCGTACGAGGGAGGTGCTTCGTTCGTTGTTGTATATGGTACCGGTGAGGCCCACTATTATGTGTGGGCCAATTTATGCTGATACGTGCGCATACAGTGACGGAGCTCTACTACTTAGCAGACTATGCAGCCCACCCCCAGCGCGTTGTGTCGCTCAAATATCGTCTCAACATTTACTCTGGCCCTTGGTTGAGGCCTGCCATCGGGAGAGCAACAAGCGATGGGTTTACTCCATTGTCACCACAGTGGTAATTTTCAAGTGTATCCGCTCATCCCCGTTGTCTTCCCAGGCCACACAGTGTGTTCTCAGCCCCACAAGTTGCTGGAGAGCCTGGGCATACAGCGGACGCGTTCGTTTCGCTGCAGACATCGCAGCCCGACCATCGTTTCCCGGTACCACCGCAAACGAACCTGCTCACCTTCAAGGCTGGGCTCATGTTTGGCCAACGAATATTCGCGACTGAATAGATGCCCTTCCGCTCCCGCGCCGGAGTCTCCCGCCCCAGGACATAAGGCGGACAGAAGGCGGCGCGCGTGCAGTCGCGTACTCAATCTTCATACCGCACGCCGACGGTCCGCATGCGAGATGTGTATCGTGTACGTGTACGACGAGACAGTCCAATAGGTGCGCGCTGCATGCCGCGCCCGCCATGTTCTATGTACTGATCATCGTCATTTCACAGTCAGGTGTGCTCAGCTCGCCTGTGATCCGTCGACGTATTCTGCGGTCGAGCCAATGGTCGTGCAAGCAGCCTCCAGCGTGCTGTCGGGCACACCGGGCAGATGGTGGTTCGTTCTCGAGATCCTCTTCCCCAAAGCTTCCTCCGCATACATCTCACTGATCCGCTTCCTCTATAGGTATTTGCATTTCCCATATGGCCGTCGTCCGAGTCCAATAGGAACGTCTACACGCTCCACCCCGCATTTCCATGATGGTCCAACGAATGAAGAAAGGCCGTCCGGTGACCTTTTACGTGTACACCTCCTTCGCTGACAGACGCACCCGCAGTGTCCACTCTTCTCGCTGTACTAGGCAAATGAAACCATCGTCGTAGGTGCGCAGACGCCCACTTTGACGTATTACTCGCCGCCTGGAAGGTAGCGGCCCAATCGGCTTCCCAGCACTGAGACTCGCTCTGACAGGTCTACACCCCTACTCCGACAGCCAATCGGTTTTCTCGCTTGCTCGGCATCCTCCAGAATGCAGACAGCGAAGACGAAGTCCAACAGAGAACTTTACGAAGGGCGAGGCAAACGTCGGTAGCATCGACGCCCCAATCGGAGTCCCGGCCTACATAATTAGCAGTATCGGTGAGCTAGTAGACGCGTGCCCAGCGTTCCGTGCCTCTCACGCGCCGTTTAGGTGGCCGAGCGCGCGGGCTTCGACGTTCGAGCGAAGCTGGCCATGGCACACTCGGCAGCTACGCCACGAAGGAGGGTGTGTTTGCGTTCTGCCGAGTTGGGGGCTCGGCGGGTCGATGCATGATAAGGGGAGATACTCACGGGCGTGCCAGTAGGGATGGGAGGTATGGTTTCAACGTACGAGCGGATCTTTTTCAACTCGGGCAGACTCAGCGCGATCCCCCGCGTTATATGAACTGCTGTGACCATTTTCGCCGTCGTTCAATGTCGTCCACCGTCGTGAGGCACTATAACGCGCCACGGGTCGGCCTGAGAGGGGTATATCGTCCCTCCGCCGCGGTCCCGAGACCATTCCCGAGCGCGGTTCGCGTGCACGCCGGCGCCCGCCTAGGTTCCGCAGAACCCCTCTAGAAAATCCCGAAGCCCAGATTATTGATACAGTATACTTCACAGTTCAAGAAGCCGTTCTTCGTGACGTCAACGCCCGAGCTCTCGAAGCCTGCGCCCGTATCGCCCGCCCGGGAGATACGACTGGCAGCACGCTCGTATCAGCACTTCCTCACTTCTTCCCAGTGATGCTCTAGTGATGCACTCTCACCTGCCAGCCGTCCCCATTATTGATCCCCACTCCCCAAAAGGCGCATCTCAGGCGAGCCGCTGGGGGCTTCGCGATAGCGCGTTGCGATCGGGCGCGGGGCCGCCGCCCTCCTGCGCCCGGTCTGCGGATCCGGGATGGAAGTCGCGGTCGTTGCGGCCTCCCTGGACGGGCGCCGCGCTGTCGTCGGCTGCACCTGGCGAGCTATATTGCGGCCCCGCTTTCAAGCCAGTGGGCACTCCGCTCGCGGGCCCGAGGACGTTTCCTTCTTGCGCCAGCGAGGGCACGGATGATTTCGTGCTCGTCTCATCGGACACGCGCGTCCTGCGAGGGTTCTCTACGCCGGGCCCGCCGGTGAGCCGCGCCATGCCGTGTTCGATTTCGTGGCCGCCTTCCTCGACCTCTGGATGCGCCGCCTCGCTGTTCGTGCTCGAGTCGACGACGTCCATGAGCCGGCCGCGGATGTTCTCGCCGATACCTGCCACACAACAACATTCCATGGTCAGCGAATGTCGATCGGGGCGGGTGGCGCGACGGGTTCTCTGTATGTCGCAAGCCTCGAGGGCTGAGACAAGCGGCTTGGGGCGACCGCTTGGTGAAGCAGCGGTGGCGGTAGCATGCGGCTCGCGTCCCCACGCCGCTGTCGGTTCCATTCGTGCGAAAGCGAGCATGGGACGGAACGTACCGTGGACGACTTCTGCCGCTCCCCTGTGGTGCGCGCGTGAGCACCCTGAACGTAATATCCACTTCTATCCGATGCGTAACTTGGTACTCACTTGAGTTTTCGATGGCTGTTACCACTACTAGAGTTGTTTGTGCTAGGGTCGCCGGCGTTGTTCGCGTTGTTTCCGATGCTTGTCATGGTGTTGTATGAAGGATGGTAGAGTATGTGCCCCTCTCTTCGAGTCCATTGCTGCCTTATGAAGGACGTCGGCGAGGGCCTCGAGCGGGGCGCGATGACGAGGGTGGAGCCCGACGACAGCTGCGGTTAAGCTCTGCGAAAGGTTAGGGTTATTGCCGTCCCCTTTCCATATCTACCTGCTCGTTCAAGCAAAGGCGTTGCACACGACTACGCTGTCTCGGCACGTCCAACGCTATACGTTCCGAGATGGGGGCGTACGAACATGAGGCAACAATATCGAGCAACTTGTACCCGACGCTGCTCAGCTGCCCAAGTAGTTTGTCCGAAAATGGCTGGGAGAAGCGATCGGACACCTCCATTCAGTGCACAAATCTGCTCCGACTAAACGCCCCTTGTCCCAGCTTCCTCTTCCCAGTACAGGACCCGCAACCTAGATCGCCTTTGTCACACCCGTGCCAACGATGTTGCGGCGGCGGCGCAGTCGCAGCAGGCGCCGGTGCTACGCCCGCCGCGGAAGGAGGTTAAAAGGCAGGCTGTGAGGGACGCTGACACCCATATTCACCCCCAGCGACGCTCAGGACCCCCGCACATCAACCGCGCGCCCACTGCACCGTTCCGCGCACACCCGCCCGGTCGTCTTAGATCGCGCTCCGCGCACCTCCTCTTGCACCATGCGTCGCGATCCTGGCGCTAACTTCCGTCTTTCGGCACTGAATGTCATATTCCAGGCCCCGCGCGCGTGCACTTCATTCTGCGCCTTCGCATCACAGTGCGTCTTCCTCTGTCTTCCTGGCGCCCCAGAGTTTCACTTCCCCGGAACCTCATACGCAGAGATAAGCACGCCAGCCCTCGGACTTTGTCCAGCTGCGCAAAGCAGCATGTCCCCTCCGAGGGCCCGGCGAGCCCACTCCGCGGGCTGCAGGAATGCATCAGGCACCGCGCCTGGACGCGCTCGCTCCGTGCCAGGCGCGCAGAGATGGCAACACCGCCGCGCTCGCCCGGACGGCTTTCGACATATCGAGGCTAGGGCCGGCGGCGGGCGCGGTCACTGGTGGCTGCCCTTATCTCCCTCGAATCTCGCGGTGCGCGTCGCGCCGTGCGGGGGAGCCGCCCGCGGCGCAGGAGGTATAAAAGCACGGGCCTCCAGCACACCGACAATCGCCTATCCCTGCGCCGCGGCCCCCCAGTATCACCCGTGCTGCCTCTACCACCCCGCCACTCGTCCCCTCGTCCGCTCAAGGCCCCTCGAGGACGTACGTGCGTGCGCGTGCCGTATAACGCGCTCCACGCACGACGTGAGCCTATACGCGGTGAGCCCCCCAAGCACCTTCTCCCGCTCCCGTCCTCGCCACTACAGGTGTTCTCCCGCTGTCGTCGGGAGAAACACCTGTACGGCAGCCCTCGACTGAGGCGCGCCACACCACCGCGGGTGCACCCCGTGCCCTCCTTGGGTGCCACGTACCCATGCCTCGCGGCAGCGCGCCCACTCGGGCGCGCGCCGCCTGCTGGGTGGTGGCGGCCGCAAGGATTGGTACGGGCGAATCGACCGCGGGCGGGGTGGCTGCGTAGGCCCGGGTGCACGGCAGACTCGCACTCGGAGGGATTACTGCGGTCTCCTTCGTGGCGCTGGGCTATCGCCATCGCCGCCACAACCGCTCTCGTGTGGGCGTGTGCTCATGTTCCGGACCGCGAACAGTCATGATACGTTGGGGGCCTGGAGGGCGGGTGCTCGCTCTCCGGAAGTGGCGCGAAGGCGGACGTACGCCGCATGCGGGCGATGTGACGGCCACGGTGTGGTTGGGGAGACCCTGACGGGCGTTGTCTCATTCCGCGGGGGTATGTCGTGATTGGCTTCGATGCGTTCTGCGTGTGTCGAGTTCTACGTTATTCTGGGGAATGTTTGATGAATGCTGCCGATGTCACTGACCGTATTGTGTCCGACGGACTGGCTCTCAAGCTCGGTGTACGCTCGATGCCGCCTTCGAGGGGTACCGGCGGCGTACTCGTATGCCCCAGGCTGCATGGTATGACGCAGTACCGCGACTAGTGAAGGTTCACTTCTCCGAAGCAACCTCATATTGAAGGCTTCGAGAACGGGGTTAACAATGTGATTACGGTAGACGTGTCGTTAATAGAAGTGGGTACATACTAGTATGCTCCAATGGAACGCATCGTGAAGCCTCCGTCCGGTACGGTCGGAAATTATCGAGCACGACAGGTGCGCGAGCCGCGAAGCTCCTCCTTACGAGCACACATTCGACAGCTGGATAGTCACCATGACCCCTCCATAATCAATGTCAGACGGGGCGCCGCGCACACCGGTACCTTGCCTTACACATCGTTCATATAGGGTGGAGCCCAACACGGCGCAGACGTTCCACAAACAATGTGAGCGCGGTCAGCACGTCCCAACCACGCCCTAGATCGGGCAAGAACCCACCTTCCAGCGGGCGTAGCGCGGCGGAGCGTGACGGCTCTCGACATACACCATCACAGTGCCAATCGCGCCGGGCCGCGGGGCGACGCCACCACGTCGCGGCCGGGCGCGAGAAGCTGCACCGCAGGCGTCCGCAGGGGGCTGGATGGGAGCTTGAGGCTATCTGGCACGCATCAGACATGGGGGACACACGGCGGGAGGCGAGAAGCCCAGGGCCAATGCGCGCGGTCAGCTGGGGGCGCGCAGGGGGCAGATGATGTCGGCGCGCGTGCCTGGTGGGCGGTCGGCACAGGGACGCTGGACCTACTGGGAGGGAGAGGGGATCTGCGGTGTCTCGAGAGAGGATGTTACGAGAGAGGAGAGCCTGGAGGCGGGTTTTTGCGGGGACGGGCAGGGACGGGCACGTTGTTTGTTGTCTAGAATGTGGGCGTGCGCAGACGTGATCGGGGGTTTCTTCTAGCAGGATACGGCACAGGTCCAAGATGACTTCTGAGTACATCGGCTGGCGGAGAAACGCAAGGACCTGAGAGGAAGCCAGAGGTACGGCACTGCAGATAGACGTTCAAGGGGTCCGAGAACAGAGGATCGGGCCCATAGAGTCGGCGAGGATAATCGGCCCTGCAAAAGAATCGGGCCAAGACAGCGGTGGTAGTACGACCATTCCGCGTTATGACCGACGGAGACCAGAAGACAGTGCTGCGAGCCTCATGTCTGAGCTCGAAGTCCAACTTTGAGAGTTCAGACCCTCGAACAAGCTTCGTACAGGGTGAGGAGACCTAGAGAGAAAAACGACCGTGCGATCAGCACAAGAAGTATTTCCTGGTTCATATAAACCTTTCGGCGTGCGTGAGTCCTACCAGTATTATTGAGTGCCAGGAGGATCATCTGGCGTTCTTTACGGCAGCCAAGATGAGAGTCGAAGGTGAGAGGCACCAGCGCTTGTCGTGAGAGGGCGTTTGATCGGAGTCTGAGGCTCGCGCCCAGTATTGCAGCGGAGTCACAAATGAAGAGGCGCAGAGGAAAGCTTGTTTCCCGCTCGTCGCCTGTCCACCCATCCTCAAGCCGTCCCCCTCAAGCCGACCTCAAGACCACATCAACGACAATGGTGAGAGCATACCCGTCGCCATCGCGCGTCGCAGTGTACACGGAGCAACGGAGAGTCCTGCCAGAATGAGAGATATGGGGTGGATGGTGCGTCCTCAGTCCAGATGACAATCTTCCCGCAGCCTTCCTCACATCCCCGCAGGCAGGACCTCTCTTCTAGCAAATGAACCCTCATTGCCGAGCGTCCTCGTATGAGGACAGCGTTGACGCATGAGACAATTGCTGGGCTCGCATCTGCTCGGCCCTCGCGGTCGGGCGGGTGCGAGCGTTAGAGCTCCGAGTGCACTGCGACGGCGGCGGCTCTTTTGCCGCCGAATGCCTAGCTTACGCCTCGTCTCAATGACCAGCCCAAGGCCACCAAAGGATCTGGCAAGAAGCCCGCCCCCGCCCCCTACGGCGCTAACAAGGGGGCCGCGAAGACCACGAAGAACCCTCTCTTCGAGTCTCGCCCCAAGAACTTTGGTATCGGTGCGTAAAATTTCTCTGTGCTGTCGACTTGCTGCGTGCTTACCCGGGGGACGCAGGCCAGGACATCCAGCCCAAGAAGGACTTGACCCGCTTCGTCAAGTGGCCCGAATACGTCCGCCTCCAGCGCCAGAAGGTCATCCTCAGCCAGCGCCTGAAGGTCCCCCCTGCCATCGCGCAGTTCTCCCACACCCTTGACAAGAACACCGCTACCCAGCTGTTCAAGCTCCTGAACAAGTGCGTTAGATCTGGGAGCCAACCGAGGATCGTCTGACACGATGTGTTTTAAAGGTACCGCCCCGAGACTAAGCAGGAGAAGAAGGCCCGTCTCGACGCTGTCGCGAAGGCCACCGCCGAGGAGAAGGAGGCTCAGGCCAAGGTGCGTGCATCGAAGCCATATTTGAATTTCAGTCGCTCACATGCAATGCAGGACTCCAAGAAGCCCTTGTTCGTCAAGTACGGCCTCAACCACACCGTTGCCCTCATTGAGGCGAAGAAGGCGTCGCTGGTCGTCATCGCGCACGATGTCGACCCCATCGAGCTGGTCATTTTCCTCCCCGCGCTCTGCCGCAAGATGGGTGTCCCCTACGTCATCGTCAAGGGCAAGGCCCGTCTCGGCACGGTTGTCCACAAGAAGACCGCCGCCGTCCTGACTCTCCAGGATGTCCGCAGCGAGGACTCGCGTGAGCTTGCCACCCTCGTCAGCGCGGCGAAGGCCAACTTGTACGTTCCATTGCCCGCATTTCCGAGGTCATTCATATCTAACTTGTGCGTTTTAGCACCGAGAAGTACGAGGAGCACCGTCGCCAGTGGGGTGGAGGTGTCCGTGGTGCCAAGTCCACCCAGATGCTCCGCAAGCGTGCGAAGGCTGCTGGCCAGACCCTCTCTGTCGCGAACGCGCAGAAGCTCTGAGCGGGGAGTGTCATGTCGTGTGTGGTCGGTGCGGGCTTGTATCGGCTCTCAAAAGACGAGTGCTCGTCGTACGCGTCGTAGTCGTTGTATTGCACGCATGTTGGAGTATGCTTATGGTTCATGGAATGTATGCTTCATGGCGCGGTGGCCTACGGGGTCCCCTACTATCCGATGTTCGCCTGGGCGTACCGTCATTGCCGTGCATATGTGAGCGAGCGCTTCTGAGTGATAGGCACAAACCAACGTACACAGACGTCAGTTGTTTCAGTCTTGTACCACCACCACTACCATCACGAACGAGAAGGTAGCAGCGAAGTGTTGCGATGTCGCAGCAGGGATTCTACAACCAAGGCCTCGGATTCTCTTTCGATGTCTCCGGAAACCTAGCCAGGCAGAGCTCCTTCTCGCAACCTTTGCTGAGTTCGCAAAGCGGCGCGTCCCTGCCGGGAGTCGACTTGAACTCGCCGGAGGTGTTCAGGCAGAACATCCAGCTCATCCAGACGCAAGTATCCCAGGTCCAGGAACTCGCACGAAGTGCATTGTCTGGAATGTAAGCACATGTACTTCATTTCATGCTCGAACGTCCGCTAATGCCGAGGCGTTTTAGTGAACACGCATACCACCCGGGGTCGAACCCCGTGCACACCGCAGGTACGACATCCCCATACCCCTGAGCCCGACCTTCACACACCCAGACGATTGACCTCTGCTGCTCACAGCCGTGATCGGCACGCTCAAGCAGACGCTGCAGGACCTCGTCGAGGCGCTGCGCCAGTCGGGCGTCGGCGCGCTCCCGCTCGAGCCGCCGCTCGGGGCGGAGGCGCGCACGGAGGAGCAGCTGCTCGCGGACGCGGGGCGCGCGGTGCAGGCGCTGTACGAGCGCCAGAGGCGCATCCAGGAGGGTGCGGGCGTCGTGGCGAACTTGTTGGGGGCGCCGGAGGTGTTGGCGGGGAGTCAGGGGGCCAGGCGGTAGGGCTGGTGTCGGCGGAGTTGGAGTTGATGAGGTGAGGAAGGGTTGGCTCGTCTCGTTACGGTTTGGCGGACGACGCTGATGATGTTTCTTGTGGACAGGTCTCTCGCTGATGATGGCAGTTTGTACGTACGGCGAGGTGTAACATCATACCGTACCGCGGAAAATCTTCACGTCCGTCGTCCGATGTCCTCGTGTGTGCTCAAGACACATAGCAGGCGATCGTCGTAAGATACCCTTTCAAACATTCTCGTGGACAGGTCTCTCGCTGATAACATTAGCACGGGCAGTTAGTACGTCCGACGACGTGGAACATCAATGCCTACCGCTACCAATCTGTCCGCCCGTCGTCCGACGTCTTCGTGTGTGCTCAAGACACATAGCGGGCGATCGTCGTAAGATACACCCTCAAACACGTCCGAGTGTGCACCCTTTTGACTAAGTTCACGATCGGACAGCTGGCACCGGAGTGTGCACGTTCATCTCACCTTGCGCTCCGAGCCCGCGGTCGGCGTCCGCTCAACGCGGTCGCGACAAATACCCGCCGACGCATCCGCCGACGCCAGGCATGTCATTAGGAAGGTTGGATGCCATGGCGAGCTTCTCTTACCAATTCCCGGTGGACGATGAATGATATGATCACGAGCCGCCTCGAGCAGAATGCGTATTACCATTTGCACCGTCGGCTCACACCAACAGGCTATGTCGAGCAGTACCTAACTCCGAGCTGGAACGGTGCCCACACACAAACCCGCGGCGATGCCAATACCAGTGCACCCGTCCTCCGAGCGACCAACTGTGCAAGAGCACATCCAGCCGTCGAGGATCGGCACACCGTATTTCTATTTCGTCATGCTCTAGCACGACCCTTGATGCAGATGGCCATGTAAATGTAAATCCCCATCCAGAACCGTATCAGCCAGGCAACACAGGGCCCCGTCGACGAAATCTCCCGAGCGCAGCGAGCGCCTTCCCCGACTGAATGCCCCGCTCGGGTACAGGAAACAATCCCGAGTCTCCGCGTGAGCCCCGTCGCCCCGATAGCCATGGCGTCGTACACGGTGCCCAGCGCCGCCCGTATCACAGGCAGCCGGTGTTCGTTCTTACCTAAAAGCCCGTGATGAACTTGACAACAGCAGGTCTTCGAATAAGTATTCGTCACCACGTTCTGCCGCATATGCGCTGCTGGGACCCGGACGTAGGCTCGGCGCCCCGGAATGTCGGCGAGCCTTATCCGTCCTAGCCCTGAGCATTCTGTCATTTCCGCTGTCGCGACATACAATCCCAGCTACCCGTTTCCCCCTGCGCAACACCTGGAATAGCCCGCACCCGTCTTCTAGCGCAAACGCTGCTAAACCGCCACGGACGGCACCGAGCGCACACCGCCTCCATAAATAGCCCGCGCATTTGTCGTCGCACTGTCGCAGAGCCTGAAATAGCGCACCGCGGCGACACATGAGTGCGACCCGCCATAGAAATCGCCTTGCATCTGGATTCTGCCCGTCCGCCATCGCGAGGACCCCGGCCATCCGACTCGCGAGATAGCGTCGCAATTGCACGCCGTCCCAGTGGGAACGCGCGGCTGCGAAAGGAAATGCACGTCGAGTGACATACCGACGGTTTACGTACGCGCCGCCGTCACGGTGCAGGGGTGTTCTGTCCTGCGATAGTCATACAGGCAGGGGCGGCGGCCGCAGGCCCAGCGGGGTAGCAAACTTGCTTCTAGCGCGCCGATGCGCCGAAGACGGGCCTGTTCGCGCTCCAGGTTTCGGTACCGACGGCATGTTGCGCGCGCAGCGATAGGCCTGCGCTGGGGCGTAGCGACGATGCTGGAAGACCATCATGCCCTCGGGGGTTAGCAGACAATCTACTTCGCCCAGCGCTGGTCGGGCCGGCTATTGCGTCCCGGTGGCCTGCGCGGCAGTTGAAGCTGAAGACGCGGATGACGGAGAGCCTCACGGAAGACTTGACGTGCGCATCGACGTCAACGTGCCGCTAGCGCTGCCGCTGCGGTGCATCTATCAGTGAGTGTACAGCGGCCCGATGTCGTACGCATGGGGAGCGGGGGCGTTATATTCGTCGTACAGTACGTCACCGCGCTTGACTGTTGTGCTCCGTGCCGGTCGGGCAGGTGTGCATTGAGCGGGACGGGGTGGACGGAGCGCTTGCCTGCAGTACGAGAGAGGGCGTGTGTCAGGCAGAGAGTGCGCGCGACGTTGCCGTGCCGCGAAGCGTACTGACCGGGATAGCATCCGGCCGTGCAAACCTTGGGGGGTGCATCCGGTGCGGCTGCTGAACGCACGGCGGCCGCGGACGAAGCTGGGATGTCGTGTCCTTCGGAGACGTTGTAGCGTCGAACTTGTGGGACGCCAGCGTGACATACCCGGTGCCCATGCTGAGGTATGGGGCCTCCGCGGACACAGCCACCATTTAGTCTGAGCGTCGCGGCGTCGAATCTGTATGATGGGGACGTGCCGAATCGGTCGATGTGTGCTGCACTAGTATAGCTTCTGCAAAGTGAGCGAATACCATAATAATCAAGCGTACCTTGTGCTTGACAACACCAGAAGACAAAGTACTTCGAGAGAGAGGTCTCGTGAAAGAAAGACTGACGAAGGGACCACAATGTACCGTCATAAGGCAATATGTTCACATACGAGAAGTTCAGAACAGAAGTTAAACTCTCAGACGTGACGAGCTGTCGGCGACATATTGCCTTCGGCGTGTCTTTCCTCCTAGAGCAAACTTCCTGTGCTGTGACATGCCACCCGGCCGGCACTAGCGCAAGAACCTTGCGCGGACGAGGACCCCGACAGTCCACCAGACCTAGAGCACGGCAGGCTATCCAGTAAATTCCCTGCGCTAGCCAGCCCGAACACATGATCCACTCACCCTGCGCAGAACTACAGCAACAGCGCAGCGGCGATGCCCGTCTCCAGCCCGCCAAACAAGCTCAGATACGCTTGCTGCAGTACGTAGGTCCACCGCGCTTCTTGGCCCAGGCGCGGCGTCCCAGTGCCAATCCGCACCAGCGACGCACACGCCCGCACGCCCTGACCACACGTCCGCGGCGCGCGATCGGGCCCGCGTGCCCCCCGCGCTCCGTCGGGCCCCCGTCCCCCCCTCCCCTCGCTCCTCCCCGGAGGTTATTCGCGTCCATCATTGCCAGGCAGGCGCAGGCGGTAGGGCATAATGGACGAGTGCGGCGGCGGGCCACGATCGATAACGCAGGACGACGCGTTCTGGGCGTGCTGCGCACGGAGAAGCACGCGCACGCGCGAGGCTTCCCGCGAAGCTGCAGCTGCAGCAGCAGGGGCATCCGCATCCGCCGCGGGGCGCACGGCCGTGTCGGGCGTTCGCACGGTGGGGCGGCTTCTCGAAGCTCGGGGACGGCGTCACAGGGCTCCGTATACAGCGAAGTGACCCGTGAAGGGCGCGTAGCACGGAGATGCTGCGTGAAGGAGTGACAGGCAGGCGGGCGTGTAGGGAGCTGAGAGAGGGCGTGATGATGTGAGTGCGCCTCGAGGTTGTCGCGCGGACGGAGTGCGTACCGCCAAAGCCCGGACATGTCAACTGGCGGTCGACGGGGGATTCTCCCACTAAGGGACGGGGAGGGTGTCGAGGGTCGTTGGGCCCGTCCAACTCTCGCCGCGGCTTCGCGACGTTGATGCGAGACAACGCGGGCCGGGGCGTCCTGCGTCGTCTCTGTAGGTGGGAGTGGGGCGGAATATAGACGGGATTAAGAAAGTTGCTTCTGCGGTTCGCGATGAACTGTGCTCCCCTGGTCGGTGTGCGATTTACCGTGCTCGAGCTCGGCTATCGAGCGCGCTGTTCATTGCGAGCGTAGCGAGCATTCACTGGTGAAGACGAATGGACCAAACAACTACAAATTGTCCGCTCGCAAACCGAAAATCGCTCTGGGGATGTATTTGAGCCCGTACGCGTTCAACTTGTCCCTTTCCCCCAATTTTAAGTGAAATACTTGCATTAGACATCATTCAGAACACATCTGGAAAGTTTGAAGAGCCCCGGATGAGTTGTGCAGTAGATATGAGGCTCTCGAGGCTCGCAAGAGCGACGTGTGGTTTAGCGCCCACGCAGGGAAATAGGCGTGCCAGTAGCGTGCCGCGCGTTGCACCTGTGGCTCAGGCTGTTGTGGCTAGCCTCAGGCTGATGAGCCAATTTGTTACATAGCAGTATGTTTGTCTATCGCACAATTAACTCGAGTATCTGACACAAAGAGAGATCATCGCCTGAAATACCCTATCCACTCGAATATGACCTGCGTGCACATGCGTAGCGAGCAAATTCGTCCCTGACGGCCGCTAGTACAATAAGGCCCTGGGTTCTCGCAACTCTCTAGCGCCGCAGGGGACGCGAGCCTTACGCTCGCGAGTGCGAGTGTCCAATCCGATGAGGTGTTCTCTCGATAATCTTCACGAGTTCGTCGGCGGAAGGAAGCAGGAAGACCGATGGTTTCGCGTACCAGTCCTGCCATTGTGTGAGCGATGGGACCACGAGATCTCGAAAATTTATGGACAGCTGAACGCAGCTCACCATCGGTTCCACTACGAAGCCCCCGCATGATGTTTGGTTGACGGTCGGTATGATAGCCTGCATGGAGGAGGTGAGAGGACTAGGAAGTGAGTGAGGTATATCCGGATATGCGTGAACGTTCACCCACCTAAAACCAGGCCGCTTCTCCCGAGGCTCCCGACAGACACTCTATCGGGGACGCGCATAACACGCCCTTCGCCATCGAGAATACAGAACCGCGTTCATTCGCGCCGTGAGGACGTTCGATATCCACGCCCCGTGCGGAATCCCCGAAGATACCGCGCGCGCGGCACCCCGGTGTGATGCACGTCCTTTTGCAGGCAAGCGCCAGGTTTGTTTGTCGCGCGGGTGAGAGCGCCGCCCGTTATGGGGGCGCCCTGCTCCCAGCTTGCGCCCCGCCCGATTGACGTGTTGGCGTCAAGGGTCGGGCCCCCGCCTGAAGCGATGCAGGAGCAGTGCCGGATCATGGTCGCCCCTCGCGGTCATCTGCCAGGAGGTGTGCGGAACGCCACGCACGAGCGGCCAGTTTGGGCATGTCGTACGCGGTTCTGGAATATGGGCTGCTGGCTGATCGGCGGCTCGCAGACCAATGGACGACGCGCTCGCGTACGGGGCCGCGAAGGCGAAGAGACGTCGCGAAGCGCATGGGGGGGCGGCCGCGTGCGAGCGCCGTCTGCCACTCCATGGCGTGCTGCCCTGTACGGCGCGCCACTGTCAGACGGTGGGAGGCGGCCCCCGGGGGGCAGATCCAGCCAGAACGTCGCAGAACGTGCGCGACTGCAGCCGTATCGCCGGCTGCTGCAGACGTCTGGCGGGACTGAAGAGGACCCTGAAGTGCGCCGCAGCTCAATTTGACGTCGGTACCGCTACGGCGCGTCCTTGTCTCCCGCCACGCCCACGTCTCGCCCTGCTTGGCAGGCCGATGACGCAGTGCGCGCAAACGCTATACGGCTCCGAAGATGACGGACTGGCGGGCTGAGATGGGTGGCGCGGCGGCGGCTTCGGTCCCCACCCGCGGTCGCTGCAGGGAGAGGCAAAGCATCCGGGCAATCAGCCAACACATCCGCATACCAACTGCCCAAAAGGACGAACGTACCCGCTTGGGGCTTCGCTGCAGCAGCAGAGGAGCCGACATCGCATCAGAAGAGATCGAGGGCGGTGGCGACATTCACTGACCAACGGGCGGAAATGAGCTCGTGTGGGCCTGTTACGAGACCGCTTGTTCGCTGAGCCCGAACCTTGTGGCACAGGACATTGGATGTCGGCATCGTACATAGTGTGCCCCAGCGGTATCCGGCTAGCCCGAAGTTGTCGGACGGGTGCTGGCAGCGCCCGTGAGCAGGCGCATGCTCGGGCCTGATATGTCGCCACACGCGTTCGCCAGTCCAGGCAGTCATCAAGTTGCACCGAGGATGCGAACGCCCTGTAAAACATGTGATCACATACAACGACATAAGTGACGCCGTACATACCTCACAGCCGCAGCCGGCGTTCCTCGCGCGCGGACCCCATTCACTGCGAACCCAACGCCCAATCGCAAACGGCAACGTCGAAAACATAACAGGCAATCCAGAAAGTCGCCGCCCCGAGGCTTCGACCACGGCCCTCCACGCTCGTGCGAGGACGGGCTCGGCTGAGCGCCTTCCCCCCACCCAGCCCAAGCCCCCGGGCGCTCCGACGGAAATACCACGACGACGTCCTCACGCGCGCACACGAACACACACACGCGCATTGCACGTATTCGCGCACTCAGGCAGGCCGACGCCCGCACCCGCGGCAGCACGGTGTATCCCCGGGCGCGCGCACCCCCAGCAGCGCTGGACACCGAGCGGACGAGTACGTCAGGTACGGCAGCGCGCGGCTTCCGACGCACTTACGGGTCGCAGTCCCATCGCACTCGTCCGCCCGCGCGTTCCCATGGCCATCCGACGAGCAGCCGCGCGGTCCCCGAGCTCAGGCCTCGAGCGAGTCTGCGCGAGTACGCGACGGACACCGCGGGCAGCGATGAGCGCCTTGAGCCGCTGGAGCAGACATGCCGCACCAGGATGCGGATGAAACTGACCAAAAAGGGGGATTCGACAGCGACATGGGGGAGGCGATGGGTACATGCTCCGAGCCTCCGATGCGGTGCACGCCTGTTGCTGCACGCCCGTGACGGTGTTGGGCAAAACGACGAGTGTATTGCGGGCACCTGCAGTGCTCCGGGGTCCTGGCCTACCATCGGGACACATGGTCGAGCTCCGCTGGGCCCTGGGGCCACTATTGCCATCGGGACACATGGCTACGGCCTTACGCCGCACCGCGACCCTCCGAGTCCAAGGGCGGATGTTGCCTCGAGATCCTCCCCGCCGATTGTCGCGTATGTCCCTGCACGCCCCTGCGGGGTGCGGGGCGAATCTGAGATGAGTCCTCGGTCCTTGTCGCCGCTGCGGAGGGCGCAAATGCTGACTTGCGCGGGGTGGTCTGGGCCGGGTCGGGGGTGCGTTGGCGGGGGGCGTCGTAATGGAAATTATGAGCGACCGAGAGGGGACTCCCCCGACGCCGGAGGTCTGAAATATACGCCTAGAGCCTTTGTCAGTAAGTCACCGGAGTGCATAACGCCGGGCACGCGCGCGAGCACGGTGAAGGACTCACGAGGCATGCCATGCTCCGGCAGGGTGAACAGGGAATCCAGCAGGGTCGACCGAGATGTGATAGACGCACTCTACAATCTAGAGAAGAAGAAAATAGTGAGATCAGCCGTCGGTTTTACGACACCGTTAAGCACTCACCACCGGCCACCATACCTCCTGCCGCCTTCACGGTCCCGGTCACGTTCGCGCTCCCAACCCCGCTGCCTGTCCTGCCTGTCCCGCCTCACCTCCTCCACCTCCCTCCGATTAAACACGTCCCCATAGCCGCCGCTCCTGCCCCCGTACACCGTGCTCGGCGTCTCGCTCCCCATCTCCCGCTTCTTCCTTGCGATGAGCGCCCGCGCGCGTTCCCGCTCCGAGCTCTCGCGCACCAGGCGGGCGGACACCTCGGGGGGCGCCTGCGGGCCGGGCCGCGAGGACGACGGGGGGCCTTGGCGGCGCTGTGCGGAGGACGAGGAGGAGGTGGACGGCCCAGCGCCGGGGCGCGAAGCGAGCTGGGTGTTGATGGCGGTGAGCGGGTCGTGTGCGGACTTGCGCTGCAGGTCGCGCCGTCTGCAATGCGATGCATTTAGTTCAGTCTCCCGGTTACTCAAGCGGAGAGTAGAGTACGGGTGATGTAAAAGCACGCACCGCCTGTCCTCCTCCGTCTCCCAAGGCTTCATCCGCGCCGTGCTCGTGCTCGCAGCCGTGTCCCGCCCCGCATCGACATACCACGGCCGCAGGTCCGCAGACGTCGGCGCGAGCGGCACGCCCTTGTCGTCTTCGACCGGCGGTGGTTTCTTAGTACCTCGGTCCTGCGCGGGCACGGGCACCACGCTCTGCACCAAATGCTAAATGTTAACACCGATTGCGATGGCGGGGAAGACGGAAGAGATGACGCACCCGCTCGAGGTCCTCGAAGAGGTTGATGTGCCCGCGCGCAGACGTCAGCGTCGTCACCGCGGTCTCGTTCTCTGTGGACGGCCCAGCGAGCGCGGCTGCAGCCGCCTCGAACTCGTCCTCATCACGCTTCTTCTTCTTCCCCTTCCCGCCCGCGAGCCCAGCCCGCGCCCGGAGGAGGTCTATGCGCGCCTCCGAGTCCTACCCTCCCCACATTCAGTCCCTTCCCCCATATACATATATGCGCCAAAAGAGCACTCACGGCGAGCATCATACGGCCCTCAGCGACAGCCTCCGCCTGCCGCGCCCCCTCCTCGTCCCGCCGGACGCGCTCGATGTTGTCCCGCCGGTACGGGTGGTAGGACTTGTGGTGTGCGATGTTCAGCTTGCCCATCTTCCCAGCGTCGCGTTAGCGGCCCACAGCTAGCGTGTCTCGTGTGTGTTGTGCGTATCCCGAACACAGCTTCTAGCTCAAGCTCAAGTGCCGGCCGCGCGAGTTGTTGTGGCAGCGAAGGCGGAACGTGTGGGGAAGACCGTGCAGGTCACGGCAAGATCGAAGACGCAGATAGCCACTAAGCGCCCATGCTGCACTCAAGATAGCATGGGCGTCTGTTTACAGCAGCGGGAGATGCATACCACCCAGCATGCACCGTCCCACGCAGTGTACAGACCGCGACGTAGAGTTTGCCTCGCGTCCACAACGCGAGCCAGGGGCACGAACATATGACGCAGCTGGAATACGCGACCTGCCCCCTTCACCCGCGCAAACACACACGCCCCGCAGGAACAGGTGCCAAGCCCGAGCCCCCGGGGCCACCTGCCTCGGGAGTCGGCGCACACGCTGCGACTGGTGGTGTCCGGGCGCGGCCCAGGAAGCTGAAGACGAAGACGCGAGATCCGCGCGCGCGGTCGGGTGGGAGCAGGGCGCGCGCGGCGTGGGCGAGGACGGCCGGAAGCGGCACAGGCATGGTATTAGGACGCTACTAGATACGGCTACTTAAATATACTTCAGCGGCGCCGCCCACCCTCCTCCACACCGCCAACGACGGCCAGCCGATTTTGCAGCGGCAGCAGCGCGCAGGGAGACAGGCGCGGAGGTTGTGCGCGCGCGGCAGGCGCACACGGCGGCATGATAGGGTGCTGGCGGTGTGCGTGCTGGCGCTGCATACGCGCGTGTATAGGGCCCGAGCGGGCGACAGGGCAGGGCGTGGCGTGGCGGGGGTGACAGATCGGTAGGTCGGGACTCGGGAGGGCGTCCCGGCCTGGGGTGCGCTCCGCCCCTGGGCGGAGATGGCCGACTGCCCCACCCTCCCCGGCCTCCCAGCTCGGAGCGGCAGCAGCGGCGGTCATGATGGCGGCGGCGACAATAGTGTGAGTGTGAGTGTGAGGACGGCGAGAGGGGGAGACGCAGACGGGGAGGGGTGGAGGCGGGGCCCGGGCCCGTTATAAGGTGCCGCAGGCGGCGATGAGGATGTCGACGGAGGGCTTATATAGGATGTGGTCGGACGCGTAGCTCTCGACTTTGCGGACGATGTCCATGCCCCGGATGACCTCGCCGAACACGACGTTCCGCCGGTCACACCACGACGCGGGTACGGTCGTGATGAAGAACTGCGGAGCGGGCGTTAGGCGGCGGGGGACGGTACATAGATGGCTGCGCAAGACGCACCTGGGACGAATTTGAGTTTGGGCCACGGTTGGCCATGGAGAGGAGACCCTGGCGATCGTGCGAGAGGCGAAAGTTCTCGTCTATACATCGGGGAATAGGTCAGTACGGAAATGCATACGCCAGAACGTGCGCAAACTAGGTTTGGGCACGGAAGATGGGAGGGTGATATCCGAAACGGGCGAAAGGGCTGAAAGAGACAGTGGACGCTCACCGGGAAAGGTAGGCCCGTAGATGGACCGGCCGGTCGTACCGTTGCCGTCGACGATATCCCCACCCTGAATCATGAACTGCGAGAGAGTGGTCAGATAAAGCGCAGGGGTGGAAAGACAGTGATGAGACGTACATTGGGGACGACGCGGTGAATGTACGAGTTGGCATAGCCATAGCCGTTCTCGCCAGTGGCAAGCTCGCGGAAGTTACGGGCAGTGACCGGACAGACATCGTCGAAGAGCCTGAAGACGATGCGGCCAGCAGGGACGCCGTCGATTTCGATGTCGAACTGGAGAGCATCGGACGATGAGGGAGGAGGGGGTAGATATTGATGGGGGACTCACAAAGACGTTCGGGCCGGTCGGGGAACGAGATGTGCGTGAGTTGCGGGAGGAGGGAGAGCGAAAGGAGTCATGAGTGGCCATGGGGATGAAGTGCGGCACGAGGAGATTTGTTGTGTGGAGAGCGGAGACTGAGGCGGTGGTGGAGGGAGAGATGGGAGAGCATGGCCGGCGGAGGAGGTTAAGTATATACGAGCGAGGATGAGGAGGAGGGACTGAGGGAGAGCAGCCACCGCCCGTCTCCAGATCCCATCTCTCGGCACTCTCCGCCGCTTTCGTCGCCCGGCATCTTCCCGGGATAGCAATCAGGACCCCAGACACGCTGGTCAAGATCCCGTTGAGTGCTCGTCCTCGCACAGCCTCTACGCGAGATCGAACAAGCTCTTGAGCAGTCCACAACACCACCACCATGTCACGGCCTTCGCTGGATGTTGGTCAGGACCCGACCCAGCTCTCCTCCTTCCATGTACGAGCCCGTGTTCTAAGCTTGGCCGTAGCAGCTAATTGGGAGCAGAAGGATATCGATCTGCCCGACCTCCTCCTGCCTGTTCTTCACACGAGACACAAAGTCGTGGCCGGCCGCTCTCCCGCCTCGTCCTCGCCGACCACCCGCCACGCCCCTCGATCGCCGCCACGCTGCGCCCTGGCCCGCGCACAATATTGCCTCCGAGCACACGCCGCCGCCCGTGTGCGCCGCGCTCTCTTGGCCCCCGTCCCCCCGTCATCACTTATCTCCGAGTCCTCCGCACAAACCTTCGCGGGCTTTCGCCCCGCCTCCTCCTCAGCCGCCATCAGCCCTCCTGACCGCACCCTATCATTTCCAGACCCATGGCCCGCCCTCTCGCACACCCACGCACCGACCACGACCGACTCCCGGCGCGCTGTTTACCCCCAGTTTCCCCACAAGGCACCCCGAGTACCTGTATACCTCGCCCGGCTACCCTCTCTCGCGCACAACCCCGAGCGCGTCCCTGAGGCCTGACCGTCGGATGGTCGCCGACTCACCGCCGTCTTCTAAGTTCTTCGCAGATTTGCAGCCCTGTCCGGTTGCTGCTGACCCGTCTGCATCAGCTCTGAGCTCTTGCTACGGCTCGGCCTATTCCTGTCGACACGCCCCATCTGGCTTCTCGACGCTCGGCGACGTCGCCAGCACTGGTCATCCTACTGCGCCCGCTCCGCCCGGCAGCCCCCCGCGCGCGCACATCACGCTTCGCGTTCCGCGTGAGAGGCCCCCCGCGCACGCCCGCCCGGATCCTGGGAGCGCGCCGGCCCATAGACAGATGCATCACATTCCGGGCCATCGTGCACTCGGCGCAGCCCCTGCGCGCTCGCCATAGCACCCACCGCACGCCCGAAGCGGCACACAGAATGCAGATGGACACCTTACGTCCGTTGTGGTCGCGCGCGGGCGGCTGCGCCCGATGCGGGAGGCGGATTCCCCTCCTCGTACCCGCGAAGCATACGCGGGCGGTCGCCGCGCCGCGCTAAAGGTTAAATGAGCACTCAGGGCTGGGCGACGTCGACGGCCGTGTACGCGTGCGGGACGGGACGTGCGCCGCGATCGATGCCCACCCGGTCGCCCGTTCATGTCCGCACGCCTGGTGCGCCGCGAGCGACGCCCGGGCTGGGAAACGCGAGCGGACGGATCGATGCGCGTCAGGCGGCGAAATTAATGAACGGCGCGTCCTATTTGGCAGCGGGGTGTGCTCGTAAGTGCTCTTCCTCCGGCCTCCGACGCACACATGCACTGTGCAGGATCGAACGCCTCCTGAGGCCTCCATCACGCTCGCGCGAGCGGGGCCCGCCTCCTGTGCGTGCACTAGAAGCCCGCTGACAGCTGCAGGAAGTGTCGCGCTCCTCGCTATCGCCTGCGGGCACGCGTCCGTCCTCTCCACTCCCCGTCCCCCTTCCTCCGGCCGTGCGCTTCTGTGCCTTGCGCGTCGCCGCGTCGGCCCTAGCAGTGGCAGGCGTGGCCCTCTCGCGCAGCGATCACGGTATGTGCTGTCCATATGTCCACCCCGCACTTGCCCCGTCCGGTACGTCCGTCCCATCGACGAGGAGTGCACGCTCACAGGACGCAATGCAGAAGCAGCGCGTCCCAGATCGCACGATGACGATGCTGCTGATGCCGGCAGGGCCCGTCGGGCTCTTCCGCCCGCGTCGGACCGCGCGTCCCATGCACGCGCCCCCCTTTCCGCCGCCACCACACGCGCAGACGGCCGATCGCGGCGCGCTGCATGAATCCATGTACCTGCAGCTGCTTATCAGCGCCGTCCTCCTCCGTACTTGCGCTGCGCTGACGCACAGGACCGGGAGGTCGTGCTCGCAGTGCTCGGGAGCTTCGGGGACGGTGCGTCAGCCGCAGCCGCCCGCAAAGGCATAGCGCACGGCCGCGCGCGCGACCCCGGGGCTAGAAGCCGGGCGACGGCGGGCGCGGGCGAACGCTCGCGCTTCGAAGGGGCGGGGCGATCGAGAAGCCCGCGCGCGGTGCTTCACTTGCTCTTGTTCGGGGGCTGCCGGGGCGCGTCCGATCGCCCGCTTCCCCCTCGTTTCGCGTCTCGAGGGTGCGGCAGGTGCGTATCCGTTTTGTGGCTAGCCTGTTCGGAGAGTCCCAGGCGTTGCGTGCTGACGATCGGCTTATGCCACCAGGCTCCGGATCCATGTTTGCGGCGAGTGCCACCAGCCACCGATGATGGACTTGCGGGCATCGTAGGGGCTACGTATCCTCCCCATCAATACTCCTCGCACTCGGAGATGTGCGCAGGCCATGTGGGACGCTGAAGCAACTTGAAGCAGGCTTTTGTATGCGGTATACGATATACGGTATACGGGCGGCGCATACGGGAGTCCGGGGTCTCCGGCGCACACACTAAGTTCGACGCCAGCACTTCAACCTCGCTCGGCGTTCTCCCGTGGCCCTAGACAAATTGTCATGGCCGTTGCGCCTCCAGCACAGGTCCGACTCCGCGAATACACATATACCATCGAGGATATGCACGCGGAGTGCCAAATAGGCTTCGCACAAGGCCCATGGTCCGTGGTGGAGCAGCGCGCGCTCCCGCTCCCGCTCGGTCCTGGTCCCGACACGGCCGCGAGACACCTCGCCTCCTGCTCGTCCGCGCAACCTCCTCCGTATCGTGATGTGGTACCTTTCGTTGCTATCCTCTGGCGGCTCCAGGATATCTTCGCAGCAGGTGCGTGGTCTCACGAAGTGCCCGGTGTGGTTTCCCCAGGCATGGAATACTGTGGTGGCAGCGGGCTGCTAAACCCTCCAGCTCGGGGTGTTCGGCTCACTGCCATGCCACGCCTCTTGTTGATCGCGCTGCCTCGTGTTGTGGGTGCCACAAGCGTGTCACGACCGCCGTGCTACGTGATGCGAATCCTTCGGCATCTGCGACTATGTGGCTAGCAGCGTCTGGTGAATAGATTTGTTCTATCTGAAATCACTTGAACACGCTGCAGGATCGATCGACCGCGCTTACCTTTGATATAGTGAGTTGGAAATGGCCGTCTTTACGCTACAATGTGCAACTCTTACATGTTTCCGCTTCACCAGCACACAGACCTCCCTCCTCCGCCAATTTCCCCACCTAAATCCTCCAGGCCCTGCCCGAACATCCCCGCCATGTTCTGGAAATGTCCACCAGGGGCAACGCCCTCGCCTCGCACATGCAGCCTGCCCTTCATCCGCCGCCGGGGCACGCGCCTCCTTCCTCCCGCACAACCTCCTCCTTCCTGATCCCGTACCTTTTCGCGCTGCAAAGCTTATTTCCGCAGCGGCCCCAGGCATCCGCTTAAGAATTCGCCTCGCGTAATGGACCAGCGATCGTTGGCCCTCGGTGCTCCGATCAAACTCGTCCATCGCGCCCTTCCCTCAACACCTCCGATTGTTGTGCAGCTGCCACCGGCGGCGACCGCTATCTCCACCTCGCGGTCGGGCGGGATTCCGTACGGCTCGCGCTTCTCAGCGTCCTCGGCGGTCGGTGGCATGTCAAGTGGCACGGTGCTAGCGCTGCTGCTCGGTACTTCGAGACTCCTCTCTCGGAGTTTCGCGTACGTATGCCTGACCACAGCGGCTGCCCCGTTCGTTCTGGAGACGTCTCGATGGCTGCGTTTTCTTCTTATACATAAAGCTCAGTGACGTCCCTGCCTATTCAATACCCGCTGCACCCTGCGCCGTCCTGAATGCGACGCAGTTTCGTTGCGCTCTGCCCCGCCGCCCTGCACGTCGAGCGTCCCGTCCTGAGTGTATTGCCGCCAGCCAGCTAGGAAGCCCCGGGTGCAGTCGCCAGGCCCTGGAGATCGCAAGGTTTGGGGCACACTCGGAGGTGGCATCGGTGCCGCTGAGTGGCAAGATGTTTCGAGCTCGAACATGTACGTGGCACCCTCACTAGTCCATTGTACGCTTCTCATATTGTGTTCCTGGTAAACTTAGACTTCTTTCGGGGCACGTGCGCCGGGCATCCTCTGCATACACGCCGTTTCGTGAAGACCCCGTCGCCCCTTCCGCTGTGCTCCCTCTTCTAGACAGCAGAGTCGATCATGAAGAAGGCCTGCGCATCCTGCGAATCCGTTCTCCCGTTTCCTCCAGGATGGCGCATCGTCCAATTCGGCTACGCTTCTCGACTAGGGACGCCACGTCTTCCTGTGACAGAAGACGGCGACAGAATGTGTCCCCTGCACCGGTGCTGCGCCACTTTCGACCTCCGGGGAGCGCTCTCTGTCGGCTTGTGCCGTGCCACAGCTCCTAGTACTCCTCCCGGTGCCTCCACACCGCTCCTGCAGCATCCCCGGGTGGCGGGATCCACAACGACATGTAGCAGGAGGCAAACACTAGATATTGATGCGCCCTCTTGATCGCCGTGCCACTACGCCTTGTACGCCCTGCGAAACACCACCTTCCATCGTTCGCAGTACACCTTCACTGACCATCTCCGCTAGGCTAGCTCTGAAATCTTCAAGTTCCGTGTTCCATGCGATCGGTATGTGATACACTTCAATCTATCTGACGCGTTACCTGGATCTTCTGGGTGCAGAGCGACATCCTTCTGTAATCTGCCCTTAAAGAAGGCCCGGCAGTGCGACTACTGGCTCTCGCTTCGCCGCCCCACAGAACACGAAGTCTTCCTGTGCCCACCTCCGCGCGTGCAATGCAGTGGCAAGACGTGCAGGCTCCGCATTTAGACTATTTCAGGGCGCCGGCTCTCCCCTCGTGACCCCATCTTCCGCGCTGTGCCACCACCAAGATGTGTCGCACGGCCCACGCCCCATCTGGAAGCACTAAAAGGCTCGGTCTAGGTCTCGCTGGCCCGATCATGCTCTCTGTCCCAAGAATCCCTGGCCACATCGCCGCACCCTTCGCTGTCGACGACTGTCCCCCACGTCCATGGACGCAGCCCGCAGGGTGCAGTCCCTGCTCGCTGGGCCGTTATCAGCCCCGACAGCAGCGCGACCGCGGGCGGGCTGGACGCTGCCGCTGGCGACTGGAAGTGCGCGGGCAATTGAGTCGGTGACAGGCCCTCGCTTCGCGCCTCTCTTCCTGCGCGGCCGTCTCACTTCCGGGACCCCAGGGAGGGCGCAGCGGCCGCATGTGGGCACCACAAACCTTGGTGCCACGACCCGAGCTGCGTGCGCGTGCTAGTCCCCGCGCGGCGTGCTCGCGCTGTCGCGTCCCAGCCCGGATCTAGACCCGCGCGCGACGTCTGTCGCTCCCCGTGACGTGCGAGTTGTGTTGCGACTGTCCCGAATAAATGTGCACCGCCGTGCTGGGCGCAGGCGTTGCCGCACTTGGTGGCGTGGGGCCCCCAGTGTGACGGTGTCGCTCGCGAGGCGAGAAGATCCCCGGTGAGGCTAGCGTGTGCGCAGCGCATGCGCCCACCTGTTCGGTTTTGCATGCTCCCCGAGCGTCGCCAACCTCCGACCTCGTCGGGGAACCCTTGCTTTGCACACGAACGACGCAGCTGGCGATCGCACGGCTTGCTTGCGCTCGCTTCCCCGTGCACCTGCCCCCCAGCATGGCTCGCATGCAGGGTCGTGTCCCGAGCGGTACATCACGCTGTCCCCGCCTAGCCCCCAGCTCTCCGATGCTTGTCTGCACCCGAGCTGTACGGCAGCAGGCGAGCCAGGGTATCGGCATCGTGCGCCAACGCGGGTGTCCCAGTCTGGCATTGACAGTGCGAGACTGGGGCATTGGCATGCACCATCACGGCACTCGCCAGCGCGTCCCCGCCCAACGCCCAGCGGGTGATTGTTGGCGGGTGCCCATTAGCATTAAGCTCCGCGCGGCCTATCGCGTGCGGCGTATGCCATCGGGCATCGTACCATCGGCCCCCAGCAGGCGATCCTGATTGGGCGTCGGCCTTAAGCTTGGGGCGTCGCGTGCGGGCGGGGCACGCCGAGATCGTGGCAGGCTGAGGGCCACGTCTGTGGGCGGTCTCAGTCGATGTCGGGTTAGACTGGGAGTGTTCATTATGGCCTTCAATTAGAGCGTCGCGTAGGACGGCGTGGGCTCGGGCGTCGGACACGGGCACTCGATGACTGTGGGAGACGGTGCTGCGCAGGGCGGCTCGGTGCTGCTTTCGGCCTGGGTGAGGGAATATGAAGGGTGTGACGTACGCGCACTCGGCACTCGTGCATGTCGGGCAGAAGAGTGGGTGATTTCTGGGTGGCTATAGGTCAATTGTACATATGCATGCTGTCGTGGTGTACGTCAGTCACGCTCGCGTATAAACTTTGCTCGCCTAGACACAGAAAGCTTACAGCGTTGGGCACACGATGCAGTGATACGTGAGGTGGTTGGCTCGCAGTGAAGTCACTGGGCACTGTGTCATCGCGGCGAAGTCCCCCCAATTTCTCCGGGGGTTGCCGTTCCCTTCATGTCAAGCCGTGCTTCCAGCGCGGGTGCCACGCTAGCTCACCGGGGTCCTGCCGCCGACGCGTCGCCGAGCACCGCGATCCCAGCGAGCGTGAAAGCGGAAGACGCACGAGCACAACGAGGCAGCGCCTCCGACGTATGTTACGTATGGCGTTGACCACGCCCGCGCGTCTTCTCGAGCCACGCGTTTCCGGCAAAGTCTATTCGAATGTTCGTCCGAGGGAGCGTGCATGTGCGCTCGTCTGACCGTGGGCTATGCCCCCTGCCCGCCGTGCCGCCTTTCACGAGGTGGGCGGGCGCGGCACGAGCGGCATACGGCTCAGATCTACCGACATACACGGACAAAGTTAGTTGTCAGATTGTACCTGTTTCCTGAACTAGCACGGAGGGCCGATGATCACAGGAAGGATCTTCTTCACTGTATAAAATGCGCCAAGTGTTTCGACGAAGCCTGCAGTTCCTGTTGGTGGCGTATTCTGCGCAGTAACATCAGAGACGTGCATTCAAATCTCATAAAGCTGGATGATCACAAGGGTGACATACCTCGCTTGCAGGATGCCTTCCAAACCGCGCGGCATAGAAACCCGCGCTTCGATGTACGCTATGACGGCGACCTCGGAGTAGGCGAACCACCCCGCTTGTGGGACTTACATGATCTGGAGGGCCTTGAAGGGGTATTCCGACAAAAGATCGTCTCACGGAGCAATATGCGGTCCGATGAACAAACTCAGGTACCCACAAAAGAACCGTTCTTGGAGAAGAAGCCGGAGTGGGGCGCTGTGCAACATGCGTACGCCGAGGGCCGAGCCCCTTTTTCGTGTACAAGAAACGCCCGCGCAGGTGCTTGGGAGATCCCAGAAGTGGAGATCAGACGAGGGTGGGTGCGCCGGCGGCAGTATTGTGGTCGTGCTTGCCAATGGGATCAGAAAGACCGAAAGCTCTGTGGGCAGGCGTGGGTAGACGGAGCGGTAGCCAACCCGAGTAGCTTACTCACTAATACGTGCGGCCCTTCAGTACGCGTTTATGACATCGGAGGAACATCTCAGAACATCAGAGTGTTTCGGCGTCAATAGTACGCTGGAACATCGTAAGGGTGTACTTGGCAGCGGCGTAGATACAGGCGTCTTGGGTAGGCAGAGATGTGTGCGGCGGTAAGGAACGATGGTCCGCAAGAATACTGGGAGGTTGCAAGTGTCAGGAACAAGCTCGAGTGACGGCGAAAGGACTCACCGTGGGTTCTTCGGTCGAAAACCGGCCGCGCGTACCCTCGACGTGAGAGGAGCGTCGGGTGTGGGCCGATTAGAAGAGCACTGACGACAAAGTATGTAGGTATATCTGTAGAGTGCTGAACCCCACTGCGCTGACGTGCCTCAGGTGTGCCTGCTAGTTTGCACTAAAAATACCGAGTATATCGGACCTAAGACATGCTAGAGAACGATATGACGCACCGTTCCAAAAACAGAGTAAATGCATCAGTGTGAACAATTATTTTCTGTCCACCAGGAACCCAATCATGGAATCGATGTCACGTACGCAAAGCATGCCGGCGGAGTCGTCCCTTGGAGAGCGGTAACGGTTGGATTGAGCCATAAATGGCCTGCGCTGTCTGCCTGATAGCCCTTCAGTTACCTATACGTGCTGAACCTTCTAGTCAATTCAGATTCACAAAGGTTTGGTCACTTGGATGAGATTGGCGACTCACATGTTATTACTATTACCGAGCCGTTTCAAGTTGCAGAAGTCGTAGCTTGCCACAAGTACGACCCCGACTGCGTTTTGACCGATCTTCATGATGCCAGAAAAAATCAGAGGGTTCTAAATGGGCGATCATAGAGCTAGTGATAAATCAGAGATGGGGACATACCGCCACATGGCGGAAACCACGATCGCGAGCGGGCGCTTCTCTCGGCATAAGACGATATTTGCGTATGTTTGCCAACAGCCCCAACTAAATTTCCAAATTGGTCGAGCCTCCAAAGCGCTCTTCTACTCACCGCCAACATCATGACCGAGCCTCCGAGTCGGCTTACTCACGATATCGTCTCAGCGGCTGCTCATGAACATCATTTACAAGATGATTTTTCCTTTGCATCTCCACCTCTGCATTCCATCTCCCCTGGATTTCAGCCAGTCCGTCTTGACCTAGACACCGCATCTGTGTACGCCGTCGACGGCGCGAACCGCGCTGCAATACCAAAATCCGGAGTTCGCCGCTCGCACGCATATACCGGAAGGATACGTGTTTATGAATGCTGTCACACGCGGACGTTCGGGCTTCGCCCGCGCTCATACCGGTGAGTAAGCATCTCTGCTCGTCTCAGACATGTCTTGATAGGATCTGGAATCGCGGGATGACCACAGTGCTCGTCGGAAGTAGTGATCGGTGATCATTTCGAGCTGAAAATTCCAGTTCTTGAAACTTTTCGTCTCCCGAATGGTATGTTCTCATAAATCCAACATGGCGAGCTTCATCGTGGCATCGAATTTGGAAGAGTTTCAAGAAATTGTCCTGGTGTGACCTGGACTTATTATTCCCTGCATATAGCGAGATGCTGTGTTGTGTTCCGTCTATACAGAGCAACCGCAAATCATACACAGCTTGGATCTGCGGGTAACAACGACTCGTCGTAAGGTAAGAGTTCGATGTCATGCCCCGAATTGTTCGCATCAAAAGGCTCTCATTCACTACCAGCACTGCTGGCTACTCGTCAAACTTTCTCAACAGATTTAGAATGCTCCGACATACGATCAGACATATGAGACTCTTCCCTGAAGTTACAATGCCTCGGGATTATAAGTGCGCAATTAGGCAATGCGCCCATGGTGAGCTCCAGGTTCGGTCCTGGCTCGGTCCTCGTACGACGTGGTGACTGACCTCCGCGGATCAGTTCTCAGGGCTCCGTGTGTCAGTTCGGAGTCTTGCAACATCCGCTTCCCGCTGGCACCCGCCTCTCTCGACGAGCTCGCAGCGTCGCACATGGAATCAAGTCATCCCCGCGCGGTCTCTGATGCAGAACCCGGTAAAGCCGGGTCCACACAATGTGCTCGCCTTCGGGACTACCGACAGGTGCTCAAATAAGTGGGTAAACGTGCCCTTCCCGTTGTCCAGCTACGTCTCGCTTCTCTCTTTTCCGCGTTGGCGTTTATTTTTTTATCATCACCCTTGCCGACATGCGCCAGTCCTTCGTTACCTCCACTTTGCTTCTAGCGCTTGCTTCGAGCTGCTCTGCAGGTGCGCTCGGTCTCTCATGTATGACAAAGTTGGAAAAGTGAAACTAACGGATATTAACAGGCCTCCTCGGTCGCCCTTACCACGTTCGCGAACAGATCCCTCATGACGGCCAGTATATCGACGTTAACGCCCTAAATAATGCCACCGAATGGTGGTGGGTTCAAGTCGCCGCCCCCGCTGTAGACGGCCAGTCTCCCCCGAGCTTGCACGTCACCTTCTACCAAGGTAAGTTCCGTTTCCCAATTCTTCATGACATATTCTTATCTGTTGCGCAGGATATCCTCTCTCCGCTGTGAAGGAGCTCTCCGGCGGTGCCAACGCCCCCGAAAACTACATCGTGATCAACGGTGCCTTCCCGAACGGCACGGTCTTCGCGTACACTCTCCCTGCCACCTCCAGCACGGTCTCGCACGTCGGCGACGCCGTCAGCGGCGACTGGGCCGGCGCGGGCTCGTTCCAGAACTCCGCGGATCTATCCACGTTCACCCTCACCCTCGACGCGCCCGAGCTCGGCGTGAGCGGCACGCTCGAGATCTACAGCGACGGCCCGTCCCACTTCGGGTGCAACTCCACCACATCGCCCTACTTCGAGAGCGCGGTCCCAGCCGATGCCGAGCTCTCCGCGAACGAGGAGATCTTCTTCAAGCAACTCGGGTGGGCGACCTCGCAGCCAGGCGGCGCCGCGCGCGTGTCCGTCTCGCTCGGCGGGAGCGAGCTCTCGTTCTCGGGTGTCGGCTACCACGACCAGAACTGGATGCCGGCCGCGATCGACGGCTTTATGGACGACTGGTACTTCCTCGACGCGCAGGTCGGCCCGTACGACCTCTCCGCGGTGTTTGCGGCGATCACGGGCTCGACGCGCGACTTCAACACGGGCTTCCTCGAGCATGCGGGCACGGTGCTACAGAACCAGTGCAGCCTGCAGGGCTCGCGCACTCAGGACCTCGTCACGATCACCCCGTACGGGGTCGCGTTCGACGAGCCAAGTGGGGTAAACGTCATGAGCGGCTTCGTGCTCGAGTACACGCTCAAGAACGGCGACCTGTACTCGTTCAATATCACGGGCCAGAGCCTCGTGCTCGACCAACCGTTCTACCATCGTTGGGTCGGCTCTGCGGTTGGCGGGAAGGTCGGCGGGGAGCAGTTCACGGGGGTGTCGCTGTACGACTGGCTGAACCCCAGCCTGCGCCCGTACCCCTAGAAGGTGGCCGCGGATGGGTAGAGCATTGCAGTTTATTATTTTGCTTGTGTTACATGTTTATCACAAGGCTAGCTCTATCATTGACGTCAATCATATGGACATACAGATGCAAGCCGATGTAATCCGTCCCTTGCGCTCGATGAAATAGTGCGACTTCGAGAATCTAGAATCCACGGAGGTAGCCGCAGGTACCGCGGTCTTCGGTTTTGCCACACTTGTCGGACTCGCGGTCCCGAGGAATTAGCGCTCGCCGCAATAACATATGGCCGGAAGCTGGGAAGTTGCGGAGCCGAAGTCGATGGAGAGGATGATCCCTGTCCCCTGTCCCGCAGCAAGGCCCGACTCGCTGGAAGGGGCATAGGCCTCGAACGTCGAGCTAGGCACGGCAAGCACCGCAGGATATCACGGCCCCAGAAAGACTTTAGGATCGTGAAGCAAACTATAACTGTCACTAATCCTTTGTCCCCAAACAAAGAGATTTTTGACAGTTATCATTTGCTTCAAGTTCCTGGGCCTATCCGACGTCCTGATATCCTGGCATGTTTGCCGTGAGGAGGGGGTGATGTGGTGAAACATGAATCTATCATCATCTCACTCAGCGTTTGAGGTCGTAAATAACCGTAAGTCGAGGCACAACATCCCCGTCTTTTGTGCAGAACCTTGGGATGCTTGGATGACGCGACGAGGTACTGAGTCTTTCTGTACCCCTGGTCTGGCCCTCACTCAATTGTCGAGTGGCAGGGCTGCCAAGTAAAGAGAGCGGTGAGTAGACTGCCCGAAATCAGAACAGCCACGCGACACAAAATTGCCACCAGGGCGATCAGGCACAATGAGGCACGCCCCGTCCCTCCGGCTGAGGAATCTGATTAGATGTGCGGGTGCCGCGCATATCTGATAAGATTTACCGCACCAGCTCGCGCTCCGACGGCCTCCTGCTCATCATTCTTTCTCAATTTTGTATCCTCTTCTGCCTTGGCACGCGAAGATATATAATGCAGGAGATGCGAGGATATTCCTCAGGCGCACTCATCGTCCTCCACCTTCCTCCTCGTAGTCCGGTTGCCGTTCGTGCCCACCGACCGCCATGTCACACAACGACGAGAAGAAGTCCTCCTCCTCCATCGGCAGCGATGCTGCATACGACGCTGGGGTACCAAAACTCGACCCCGCCACCAAGGGCGAGATAGACGCTGAGGCCGACGCTCATCTCGGTGTGCGGACGGTAGAAGCCGCGGAGCAAGTTTATGGCCGCTACTCCAAGTGGTTCCTCTTCATCGGGTATGTTCTCAGTTCGTGTCTTACCGTTCGCGAACGTATCCTGATATTTGTGATCTAGTATTGGCCTCGCGTCGTATATCTACTCGCTTGATGGCCAGACGACGTACAGCTACCTCGCCTTCGCCACCTCCTCCTTCGACAAGCACAGTCTTATTTCCACCATCCAGGTCGCGCAGTCCATCATCAGTGAGTCGCCTCGCGTCGGACCTCAATCCATTTGCTTACCAGTCTTTCAGTCGCGTGTGGGAAGCCCGTCATTGCTAAGGTTGCCGATGTCTCGTCCCGCGGCACCTCGTACATCGTCGTCCGTGAGTAGCCTGCCATTGCGCATCAGTTTCGTAGTCTAACCTTCCCCGTAGTGGTATTCTACGTCATTGGCTACATTGTGATCGCGTCCGCCAACGGCGTCGGCGCCCTTGCGGCTGGCATCATTCTCTACGCGATGTACGTTACGTCTGTGAAGGTCCATACCTTCAACTCCTGACATTTCCTTCGCAGTGGTTACACGGGCCTGCAGTTGCTCACTCAAATCATTGTCGCCGATATCACGACGCTCAAGTGGCGAGGCCTCGTCTCCGCTTTGACCTCCGCGCCGTTCATCATCAACGCGTTCATCGGCTCGAACGTCTCCACCGGTGTTCTCGAGCACTCGAACTGGCGCTGGGGCTATGGCATGTTCGCGATCCTCATCCCCGCCTCCCTCTCGCCACTCGTCATCACGCTCTTCTGGGCCGAGAACAAGGCGCGCAAGCTTGGACTCGTTCAGGGCGCTGACGTCAAGCCGAAGGAGAAGGGCTCGCTCGTGCAGCGCGCGTGGGGCGTCGCACAGCAGCTCGACATTGTCGGCCTCCTGCTCCTCGGTACTGCTGTTGCGCTTATCCTGCTCCCGCTCACGCTGGCGCAGAGCGCCAAGGGCATGTGGAACAACCCGTCGATGATTGCCATGATCGTCGTCGGGTGCATCCTCCTCCCCGTCTTCGCGCTCTGGGACATTTACTTCGCGACGCGCCCCGTCATCGCGCGCCGCTTCCTTACCAACTGGTCGGTCGTCCTCGCGTCGTGGATCGGCTTCTTCGACTTCGTGCGTAATCTACTAGCGTCTTCCAGACCTGGAACTGACTTGTGTTACGCTGCAGTTCTCGTTCTACCTCACATTCACCTACCTTTACTCCTTCGTGCTCGTCACCAAGGACTGGTATGTCGCGCCGTATCTTGCTTCTGTCGTTGGGAGACTCACTCATCCATTCTTCATAGGACGTTGATCAACGCGACCTACTTCAGCCAGACGCAGACGGTCGGCCTTACTGTCTTCGGTATCATGTCCGGCTTCTTCCTGACCTGGTTCCGCCGCTACAAGGTGCGCATCTCGATTTTGCCTACTTATGTACGTCGAGACTAACTACTTGGTTGTCATAGTGGGTGCTCGTCGCCGGTCTCGCCATCCGTCTCGTGTACGTCTCATCCGCTCTATCCGCCGGTCATGTATGCTTACGCGCGCATCTTCTCCCTCAGCGGTGTCGGCCTCATGATCCACTCGCGTGGCGCGGACTCGTCCGACGCGGAGATCGTCTGGACCCAGATCCTCCAGGGCATCGGAGGTGGCTTCGCCGCCGTCTGCTCGCAGGTCGGCGCGCAGGCGTCCGTGCCCCACGTCGACGTCGCGATGGTCACCGCCGTCGTCCTCCTCTGGACCGAGATCGGCGGCTCCGTCGGTAGCGCTGTCGCCGGTGCCATTTGGACCAACACCATGCCCGACAAGCTCGCCGCGCACCTTCCGTCGCTCAACCAGACCGAGCTCGACACGCTCTTTGGCAGCATCACGAGCGTCATGGCTCTCCCCTTCGACGACCCCGTGCGCGTCGGCGTCATCGGCGCGTACGGCGACACGATGCGCGTCATGCTCATCGCCGCGACCGTGCTCGCGGTCGTCCCCCTCCTCATCTCGCTCGGCATGCCCAACTGGTACCTCGGCGACAACCAGAACGCGGTCGACGGGAACAGCGGCCCCGAGCCGAAGGAGGTGAAGACGGAGAAGGGCGCGGTGGCGCCGGTGGCGAGCGAGCCCTCGCATGTGTAGTCACTCAAAAAAGTGTCGTTGTCACGATTATCGTTCGAGTCTTTCATGCTTACGCGTTACGAATGCACGCTACACATCATTATGTAGAACACGTCACGTACTTATTATTAATGGTTTAATAGAGGGTGTCTGGGTTTCATCATTCACACCTGCGCCCGGCCGTCTCGGGATATCTTCTGCGCTGCAACGACTGCGCTCAATTAATCCATTCATTATAAGAAGAGACTGGAACTCAATGTACCAAAACTAAGAGGCAATCATGTTCGGCATACGAGACGGTCAACAAGATGGTATTACTACATATAGCAGAGTGAGCAGCTCAAGCGCTCATGGTCGCCCTGCCCGGGACGCCGGCTCGAGGACCGAGAAACCTTAACCTTATTTCGAGTACTCGTATTCACCTCCTCGAACCGCTTCTCCGGTGCCACTCAGTGCTCTACCTGACCACCATTCACTCGCGAGCGGCGCTTCGTCTTTCTCAAACACCCCCGTGTCCATTCCCATTTGCCTCAGTACTACATTCATAATTCTGCGCATGGAGAACCGCATAGCTGAGGATTCTCCCGACAAAATCGTCCGGGAAGAGCATCCTGAACTGTACTTCGCAAACGGGGACATCGTCCTCCAAGCCAAGCTCCAGTCAGAGACCGACATCCCAAAGTTTCAGATGTATTGTGTTCACACGGCTATACTGAGTTTCCACTCTGCTTTCTTTTCCAATATGTTCGCCGACGGCTCTGCAAATCACGAGCCTTCTTACGACGGGCGCCCTCTTGTGGAGATGCATGACGATGCGGATGACCTGTCTCATCTTCTCTTATATGTGTATCGTCCCTCGTAAGTTTTTCTTTCATTTTGCCAGATCTTGCATCGCTTTACTGATGCTATTGCCCAGCGAATATCTCCTGCGGCCGTCTCATCCCGACACCCCGGTCAAGCTGCGGGGCGCAGTCAGACTCGCAAGCAAGTACATGTTCGATAACGCTCGGGCCGACATGATCAAGCGGGTCACGATGGACTGGCCGGTTACTCTCGACCAGTGGGACGTCCGCGAGGGCGAACGCCAAAGCCTCATGCGAGTGGCGTACGACCATCACGGCAACCAAAGTGCCGGTCGACGCAATCTGGCCGAGCACACTCCCGAGCCCGTCTCCGCGATCGTCTTCGCCCAGGAGCACGGTTGCGCTGAGATCCTGCCCGCCGCTTTCTACCGTCTCGCCTCCCTCGACATCGGAAACGGGTGGGAAAACAAAAATAGAGTCCATGCGGATCCCGACAGGGCACGATGGGCGCTCTGCGACAAGGAGAACCTCGTGCGCTATATCCAGGGGCGCTCGGCACTGGAGGAGTACCACCACACTGTCGCCCAGCAGCTTACGGACGGCGACATGATCAACACGGGCTGTTTCCCGGAGTATATGAGCGATACGGGCCTGATCCGCCCCGGAGACCCCTTCGAGGGGAACATCGAAGACTATCCGTGCTTTCACTTCATCTGGACGCTCCGCGACGTCGTCTGGGGCTGGCGGGTGTCGTTAGACCCGCTATCTGCGTTGTCCAAGCTCGAGGACTGCGACAAGTTGGACAGGATGAAGGACAGGTGCCCCTACGGACTCTGCGAAAGGTGCGAAGGCTTCTTCCGAGGGTGGATACGCGAGGAGCGTGTGGGCCTCTGGAAGAAGCTTCCGGGTTTCTTTCAGCTTAAGTAGATATCGTCGGTGAGTCCGTTTCCGCACATGGCGATCCACTGTCTAGTAGGGTGTTATATTGATATGCACGCGCAGCGCTGTAATCCCTCAGTAAGGCTCCCTCTTAAACGCGACGGCACGCGGACGATTCGAAAATGGTCTATACTGTAATCATACCTGTAACGACCACCATCGCGATGAAAACTGAGCAACAGACAAAAAAACGAACCCAGATCTACCGGATCTCAACGCTGCATAAGCAGATCTGATGCGCGTGCTGAGAGCTCGAGCGTTCGTAAGCCAAGCCACCAGCAGCTTTGAGGCTGACCATTTTTCGGTACCTCGCCGATAGGGAGACTGAGACGACCTATCCATTGCGCGGGCCCTCTTCGAGATAAGTGAGCGTTTGCTGACGCATGCACCGTTGACGACGGTCACTTCAGCAGTGCTCACGCACGACTCGGACCCATTACCATTCTTAGCGACCATCGCCGGTGTTCGCTCCTGATAGATGCAGCCATACCTCCTCCCACAGCGGCAACAGGCGTGTGCAAATGCGCTTTCAGGCCTTACTCGTGCGTCGCGCGTGGATCGTCGCTGTGAGAAGCCTGGAGCAACTCGATGCCGTCCGCCTTTCTTAGCACTGGCACGGAGTCCCTTGAGTACACCTTGCGTCCGATTTGTGGACGAATCCTTCGCAGGGGCGGCTCGAGACGATCTGGAAGGCTGTGAGCGGAAGCTATACGTATGATCGAGATGGACTTGCATCCTGATACATGTACTTTATGGGCTACCGAACTACGGCGTAAGCGATTGGTAGAAGCCGCATCGCAAGCACTAATCACGCTCAGGCTCATTTATTCTGCTAGACGAGTGAAACAGTAGGGAGGCCGCCGGGTGAAGCCGCTACATCACACGGGCTTGCGAATCGGAAGCGAACGAAAGCCTAAAATCAACGGCGAGAGATGGTAAGCTAAGGGAAGGGTGTCGTTACAAGTACGTCTGTAATACTCGTTTGAGACTCTAGTGCGACAGCCTCCCGCAGCTTGGGACTCACCGGAGGGATCTACTGAAGTTGGAAGTAGTTCGGGAGGCGCTCCCAAAGCCCCTCGCGCGCGCTGCGAGTCCATTTTCGAAGGGCATCCTTACACTCGTAGCATAGTCCATCCGGACACCTCCCTTTCAGCTTCTCCGAAGGAGCCCGTTCGGCTTCCCAAAGTCTAGACAGCGCCGCGAGCGGGTCGTACGAAGGCTGGGTGCCCCATGCGAGCTCTCGGAGGTTCCAGATGAAGTGAAAGCACGGTGCGTCCCTCGTATACTCTTCAAAAAGGTCGTCATCCAAGGCGGGACTAGGCGGGTCGATGATCCACCACGGAAGACAGTTCTCGCTCAGCATCTCGCCCGCAGCCATTTGTCGGGCAACCGCATGGTGGTACCCTTCCAAGGCCTGTCGTCCCTTGATGTAGCGGACGAGGTTGTCCTTGTCGCAGAGCGACCACCTGGCGCATAGAGGTTCGGCGGATAGATAACAGCCAAGTTGCCACTCGGCACTGATGTCGATGGACGCAAGACGGTAGAAGGCGGCCGGCAAGATCTCGGTGCAGCCATTCTCTTGCGCGAAAACGATGGCGGAAACGGGGTCGAGTGTTCGTTGGGCTAGGGCGCGTTGGGTGGCGAAGTGACTGCTGGCGTTTGGGTATTGGGCACGCCATAAGCGCACAAGGCCCTCGCGTTCGCCCTCGCGGATGTCCCAGTCGTCGAGGGTCACAGGCCAGTCCATTGTGACTCTACGAATCATGTCATACCGGACGTCGTCAAGCAAGTACTTGTGCGCGAGTCGGACGGCGCCCCTCAGCTCGATCGGGGTGTCCGGGTGAGAAGACCTCATGAGATAGTCACTGCACGATAAAGAGCTTAGTAAGGATCAAGGGATGCGGAGAATGATTTGAAGCACTCACGAAGGCTTATAGATGAAGAGAAGAAGGTGTGACAGGTCGTCCGCATCGTCAAGCATCTCCACAAGAGGGCGGCCGTCGTAGATCGACTCGAGGTTCACCGAACCGTCGGCGAAGAGGTTGGAGAAGACCACGGAGTGAAAGCCCAATATAGCCTTGTGAACGCAGTACATTTGGAACCTGGGGTTATCTGCATCCGACGGGAGCTTGGCTTGGAGAACGATGTCCCCACCAGCAAAGTAGAGCTGAGGATGCTCCTCCCGGGTGATCCGACTCTCCGGCGTAGCGGTTGCAAGGCTGACACGGTTCTCCATAGAAATCGTGTAGGGGTAGATGTAGTGTAAAAGTACACGCGAGGATGCGTCACGAAGCTAGAGTAGAACGCGGTAACACCGCTACAGTGTGGGTGGTGGCGGTGAGAAGCAAACACGCAAAGCAAGTTGATCAGTCGCGTCAGGTACTAAGCGCCGATGCCAACACGAACTTCGAACTTTGGGGAACACTGGTGAGCGAACTCCTGACACATTTGCAGTGCATGTAACGTCGCAATCCAAAATATTTCATTTCAACCTCTCTGATATCGGCATACCGGATGCCGTCCAAAGCTTTCCAGTCAGGAAGCCCCGAAAATCCGACCCCCGCGCACGACATTCCACAACGTCTCCAACACCCCCGGCGGCCTCGGCGCCCAGAACTCGGGCGTGAACGTCCCCTCGCGGCCTTCGACACCAAACAGCCAATCCCGCCGCATCCCCTCGTCCAGGTGCTTGAGCTGTCGGTACTCGTTAGGCACGCTCACGTCCTGGATCGCGTAGTTCGGCTGGAACACAGTGGTCGGCACCCCGAGCGCGGTCAGCGTGGTGTTGAGTTCGGATGCGAACGTCTCGTGTGCGGCGACGCTCGCGGGCGGGGGCTTATCGCTCTCGAAGGAGGGCTCCAGCATGAACATGAGGGTCTTCAATTCGGAGAAGCACGGTCCTGTGCAAGGTTTATGCGGCAGTATGTTCAGTTGGCGAGGGTGCAACCAGCTACGTCTATTAGACGTAGGCCCGGTTGCAACCGCTTCCCGAAACCTCGAACAATAATTAAATGCCCATGTGCAGCATTGAACTGGCGATCTCCGGAACAGAAGAGACACACTAATCCACTACACCATTAGGCCTTGTAACTTCTCCTTTGGCTTAGGGCTGTGTGCTACCTTAGGGTTCGGCTTAGGGTTAGGGATTAGGGTTAGGTAGCGCAATATATGGACTTCCTTCCTCCCCTGAGAGGAGCCGGTCTGTAGAAATTGCGAGAACGAGGCTTTAGTGTGCCCGCCTGAAGGCTCCCGGTTCGGGGGACCCCCCGAGCGCAGCGAGGGAGGGGAGGGAGCCTGAATGGCGGGTCCTCTTCTTGCCGAAAGAGACCCAATATATTGCAATGGTTCTGCATCCTTTATAAGCTTCTGTGGTGTAGTGGTTCACGCCACCGTACTATAGACCCAAATGCTCGGAAGCGTGGTTCAATCCCCTTCAGTGGCATTAATTGTGTGATACAGTGAAGATGTATTTTGTAGATAATGCCGGGCGAGCGGTTGCAACCGGGTCTACGTCTAATAGACGTAGCTGGTTGCACCCTCGCCAACTGAAGTCCCTCCATGCGGATCGGCATCGCCTGCGCGGCGGTTGCCTGTAGCGAAAATGGTGAGACAAGCGAGATAAGCAAAGGGAAAACGCTGCGGAATCACATACCTAGGACGAGCGTTAGACTTGGTAAGAAGCGGATTCCGCTTGGGGATGTGGCCCATCTCGACGTGTGGATGCGAAGCCAAGTAAGGTGCGGCGCGTTTAGGGCCCACCACTCGAAGTCCATTTCAGCGCGTGGTGAGGTCGACATGTGAAGTCTTCGCAAGGCCGGATATAACGCGGTGGTACCCTGACGGCCTTCCGTCATAGGATCAGGGCTTGTGTCGCCGGCGTGGACGAACGGCGGGCGCAAGTTGTGGGCGAAGGTGAGCTTGCGGAGGCGAGGAAACCCGTGCGGGAGCGGGATTTCCGGGATCGCATCTATTTTCTTCTGGGATGTCATGTCATATATGTACTTGGTGTGTCGAAGGAGACACAATGTCTCCAGATCGTGGAAGATCGCGGTGCACAACGACTGGAACGTGCGGTGATACTCGTGCCATACCTCGATCTCCCAGGCAGAATAACCCTGCGCGGAGAAAGGGCGCTTCAGGCGGGCGGCGGCAAAGTCCTCGTCAATGAGCTTGAGGTTCGGTATACTGAAGGCAGGGGTGAGGGAGATGCAGAGATGCCGCACGTAGGGTATCGACACATCCTGCGCACGGGCATCTGCTCTTGCGGTGTCGAGGGCTTGCATAAAGCGCACCAGTTGATCGGAATTACCAATGAGAAGGGAGACAGAGTGGAATCGGGCAGCGCGAGAGGTGACATGGATAGTCTTGGAAACCAAGGAGAGGGAACGTCCTGTGCGGCCTCCGTCGGTGCACGCGAGCAGAAAGATGAGTTCAAGCACGCTGTAAGGGAGGGTTTCGATCATGGAGGGTGCGAGGGTGTTGGTCGGCGGGAGCTTTCCAGAATCGGAAAGACGATGCATAGCTGGATATAGATTTCTGAGTGTTGGGTTGTGAGTTCGTAGACAGTGGCGAGACAAGAGATTTGTAGTCAGGAAGTTGAGTGGTTTTATGGGGGCCAGCTCCTGACAAGAAACTTATAGCCAACGATGAACAAAAGACTCAGCTTGATTCTCAGCAACGAGACGCGGTCTGTATTGTGGTTGCTCTGGAGAAGAGAAAGGAAGAGACAAAGAATTCGAATCGCCACGGCCGCGTATCCGATGGTCGCGGGCGCCTGTCTTGCCGCGTGCCACAAATGCTAGCGCCCGTTGCACTACTGCGTTCGAATGAGTTGGTTGCCCGCTGGGGCTGGAGAAGTTGCTCTCGACCACCGCTCAAGCTGAAGCTTCGTCTGTGTCGTGCACTCTCATATAGCCCCAGTCTTATCGCAAGGTATTAGGTACGATCTCGTATGTGCTCCTCTTCCATCATCGAGAATACTCAACACAATTTTCGAACAAATTCGACTCGGCCAGTAGTGGCACTGGTGCTCACTACAGCGGAGAGTCCGAGTGCGTTGGTAATGCTCGTGTGTCATGCTTTCAAGATGCACTCGCCTGCAACTCGCCTGTACCTGGTAGCATTCGAGCACCTTCTGTATGGAGCCTGTCGGACCGCTACGGCAATGGCCCCAGCGGCGTGGCACACCTCTGACTTGGGTATTCACACGTGCACGCTCAGGATTACGTCTCGGGGTGGTGGTGCAGCAGTCGTCGTAGTCTGGTACCTGCGCCACGCGCAGCCTGCCAGTGGCTTGCGACGTCGGTACTAAGCGTACAGGGGATATCTGATGAGCTTCAAGTCCGGCGACATCGCTGCGTGGGTCCCTGTAATAAGTCTCGCCGGAGCTGATATCCGGTATTTGTGATGCTCCGAGCGAAGTCGTACACTCCAATACGCGTACGTAGACAGATTCCATGCATTCTTCCTGTCAAGCCCATCTACTGATGTTCATCCCTACAGGTCGGAAAATCGAGTCGCCGAGGCGCAGCAGTACACGCTGTTCCTTCGTAGGCGGACCGAGGCAAGCGTCGGTTGCCTGGCCAGGTCCCGTGAGTCTCCCAGTCCACAAAATGCAAAGCCGTATTTCACTTTCTTATAGCTCTTCGTGCGTACCCAGCTTGTGACACGACGTGGCCGCATGGTCAAATTCAGAGCCAGATTGGAAGGGTATGTCCTACTCCCTGCACAAGCATTCTGTCACTTAATCGGCGCACTCAGCAGAGCCCAGCTCGGAAGTACAAAATATAGTTAAAACCACCGACTGTACGGCGTACTCGTGTTGAACCTATTGGCACACTTCCATGCAAGAGTGCCGCAGGAACTTCAAGTTACGCGGTGTCGAGTCACTGGATGTACGTTTACGTTCGGTTACGTGCCGCCGCCGTCTCGTAACTTGACACTCTCTTCCCAGTCAGTGTCCACGAACAACGAGAAGGACATGCTTCTCCGGTCTGCGTACCGGGAGAACTAGCTGGATTGTGTCCTATTTATCACTCGGGTAGAGGTCGACAGGCGTTGTATATAAGAGGTGAGGCTGCGACAGCGGATACTCCAGGCTCCTCCGGACCACGAACTCATCGCCCCTTTCCACCGATACTCCTACTACCATGCAGAGCTTCGTCACTACCTCCTGCGTTGGCGGCCGCGACGGCCACATCTTCCAGGATGTGTACATCCGCAGCGACGACGGTAAGCTCGCCGCCTCCGTTATACAGCTTCGGCCGTACAGCGCACTCCAGGACTGACATCTTGAACCACTACAGGCAGCATCGTTATCGACGACTTCAGTGCGTATCAAACGGCCTTAGAAGGCGCTAAGAGGGTTGCTGATGCATCCTTACAGAGAAGGACCAGCTCAGGCTGGACTTCCCTATCAAGTCCATCGCCGTGTCTCACGGATGGATCGTACGCCACCTCCGTCGCTTCCTCTATGGTGGTCCCCATACTTACGCACATGTATTATGCTCACTAGGTTGACGGTATCGCGATCACGTACAACCTCACCAGCGGCGACAATGCGACCCTTGACCACGGAAGTCAGTTCAGCGGCGCGACCACCGTCAACTTCAGCAGTACGTGGTGTTGACTACTAGCGCTCCATCCGAAGTTGGACATAACTTATACCTCTGACAACTCTAGCTACCGAAATCCTCATCAATGTCTTCGGCCGCGCCGGGTACCAGAGCTACTACAAGCGCGAGATGGTCAACAACATCGGCTTCGTCATCTTCGACACCGCCAAGGGAACCACCCGCACTGTCGGCGTAAGTCGGTTTTCGCACCTGACCGCGTCCTGTGCTGAAGTACGAATATAATCAGCCGTTCGGCAACAGCAACGGGGCGACCGAGGGCAAGCCGTTCACCTGCTCGGATGTGATCGCATTCGGCGGTTTCGCTGAAAACACCTCTCACCGTACGTATCCGCCAAAAGCCTGCTCGCATGATCACCCTGACTCGTTGAATCGCAGTGGGCCTCTCTGGCCTCTTCTTCTACAAGGACGTCGGAAAGCGCTGAGCGATGCTGCCGATAAGAGGGCCCCTGCGGCATAGTGCTGAGAGGAGACCTTTCGAGTCGCTTGTGTTAGTTGTACGGATTAGCGGAAGCTAGCTGGGATCGAATTTGTGCACGGGAGACGCAGAGCTAGCTTTTACAAGGATCGAGAAAATATATCGAATTTCTTTGGGTTACAATTTGCCAAGCGTAGGATCGACGACGACCCAAGCGATCGGTAAAAATTCATAAATTCTAATGTTCCGATCGCGAAGGCGTCCTTTCCCGATTTGACTTCCTGTGGCTTCCCATCCACCGTCCGGGGCGGATTTGCAGCGTTGTTCCGTACCACCAGCTCTCTCCCTCGTCCTTTTTTGCCCAGACAGTCTCCCCTTCTCTACACCTCTTCTAATCTGTGCCTCCAAGAACATGGCTCGCTCTATGGGCCTCGTAACTCCGACTGAGAAAGCCGTCCTGGAGCCTCATCCTGAACTCTACTTCGACAACGGAGACATCGTTCTGCAAGCCGCACTTCCCAACTCAAACAAAGGGGAACAAGTCCTCTAGATATACTGCGTCCACACGTCTCTCCTGAGCTTCCACTCGGTCGTCTTCTCCAACCTCTTTGCCGACGGCTCGGGCAAAGTTGACTCGCCCCATGACGGCCGACCTGTCGTGCTCATGCCAGACGAGGCGGGAGACCTCTCCCAGCTTCTCTCGTACGTCTATAAACCCTCGTACGTTCTCACAATACATCTGTGCTCGATGTGAATATATACTCACACTAGATTCTGTTGTATAGTGAGTATCTCTTGCGGCCGTCGCATCCCGACACTCCTATCGAGCTCAGGGGCGCCGTCAAACTCGCCGAAAAATATCTCTTTGACGGTGCCCGCGCCGACATGATCAAGAGAGTCACCATGGACTGGCCCGTCACCCTCGACGAGTGGGACATCCGCGCGAGTGAGTTCCAAGGTCTCCGGCACGTGGTGTGCAGCAAGTACTTCCATCGCCGCCGGACGACTACCAAGTGCGCCGACACCTTGGCAGACCGGGTGCCGGAGCCCATCTCGACCATCCTCTTCGCGCAGGAGCATGGGTGCACCGATATCCTCCCCGCCGCATTCTATCGCCTCGCGTCCATCGACACGAAAAGGATGACTGGCCCGAGGACCGAAGCGGCCCGTACGTCCTGGCAAGGTGGTCACTCGCCAACACATCGATCCTCTTCCGCTACATCCAAGGGCGCCAGGCCCTGGAGGAGTACCACCGCCAGGTCGCGTTCAAGCTCAGTCGTGGAGCTATGATCAGCAAGAACTGCATCCCCTTGTGGCTGGCTACTACATTCGGTCCCGCAGACGACGAAGAACATGACCATCCACCCGAGGAGGAGACTCGGAAGGAATACCCGTGCTTGGACTTTCTCTGGACGCTCAGCGACGCGGAGTGGGGCACCACCCCTACTTACGAGCCGCTCTCTACTTTGCTTCACCTCGACAACGAGGACAAGCTCGAAAATGTCAAGCAGACGTGTCCCAACGGACTCTGCATTGATTGTCAGTTCAGATTGAGAAGCTGGGTCAAAACCGAGCGTGAGGCGCTGTGGGAGCGCCTTCCGACGTACTTCGACCTGCATGTAACGACCCAGGATCGGGTCGTTACGGGCATCGTACATCCACGAGCCCAGCGCCGTACGCGCTGGGCAGAGATAAGATAATGATGTATTAAATAGACGCGTGCGGCGTGCGGGTATTCGGAACCCGCGCGCCTAGTGCGGGCAGCCTTTCTACCTGCCCCACTATCCTACGAGTACGCCGAGCCTCAATAGAGCCCGGACCAGAGTACTTGCGGGAAAGGGGCTACAGATTGCGCCCCCTATACGTGAGTTTTACACTTTTTACTCTCACCGTGATATTCGCCCGATTTGGGGCTCGACGTGTCCCACGTCACTACTGAACTCTAACCTTAAACCGCCCGATATCGCCCAATAAAGCAACCATGGACCAGTCACAGAACCCCAACACCGAAGGGCGTCAGACGCGCCCTTCTTCCCCTCATCACAACCCCTAGACCGTGCCACGT